CTGAGTGACGGCCTTTGTGCACCTTGCTGCCCCCTCCTGCTGACGTATCTCCTGCACGTTTAGAATCATCAGGACCCTGCCTAGACTTGACCATCTGGCCAAACTGAGTAACAGGGTAAGAAGGGCATTGGTCAGGGAGGTGAGCAAGAAACCACTCTAACCGAGCTTCAGAAGTCCTCTGCAGAAATGGGAGAACCTGCTGGAAGGAGGACCGTCTCAGCAGCGCTCCATCAATCAGGCCTTTATAGAAGCGTGGCTTGACCCAAGCCACTTTAAGTAAAAGGCAGATGACAGTCCGCTTGGAGTTTGCCAAACAGCATTCAAAGGACTCTGAGAGCATGAGGCACAAGATTATCTGGTCTGATGAGACACAAATTGAGCTCTTTGGGCAGAACTCCAAACACTATGTCTGGTAAACACCAGGCGCTGCTCATCTCCTAGTTAATACCCTCCCTGCAGTGAAGCGTGGTGGTGAAAGCATCAAGTTATGGGCGAGCTTCTCAGCAGCAGGGAATGATGTGAGGGAATGATGAATGCATCCAAATATAGAGAGAGGTCCTTGAAGAAAACCTGCTCCAGAGTACAAACATCCTTTCAACAATGACTTGAAACATACTGTACATACAAAGCTGTAATTGTTGTCAAAGGGGATTCAACAAAGTATTGAATTCTGTGTGTGAATACTCCTGTTAATGAGAGATTTCAGTTTTAGATTTTTTAAAAATTTGCAAGAGTTTTTAAAAACATGTTTTCACTTTGTCATTATGGGTATGGGTTATATAGTATAGTACTGAGTATTTAATGAGTGGCATTGTACCCCTTTACAATTAAATCTACAACACAAAGAAGTATGCAAAAAGTGAATGTGTCTGAATACTTTCTGAATGCACCGTCTTTATACAGAAGGATTATAAAGAATAAAGATTATTACAAATTAAAGAGAAAACCTGAATAGTTGAGAAACATAACAAATGCAGGTGCCTCCACACGAGGCACAAAGGGTCACTGAATACTTTGATGGGTACAAAAATGATGTGAACCATATGCTCTGGCCTTCACATTCACCAGATCTCAACTTATGAACACCTATGGGAGATACGAGACCGGGGTGTTAGACAGCGCTCTCCCCCACCATCAACCAAAACACCAAGTGAGGGAATATCTTTTAGAAGAAAGGAGTTCATCCCCACAGCAGAGTTCAGAGACTTGCGGAATCAGTGCCATGGTGCATTAAAGCTGTTCTGGTGGTACATGATGGACCTGTATATAAACAGTGGAGTCCAAAGGTCTGACACTATTTTCCCATTCTAGTGGTCTCTTTTGGACTCCACTGTATACTATGTCAATAATTTAACAGGTGAAGGGCGGTATTTTCCAGTGCGCTGTGTGTGTGTCTGTGTGTGTCTGTGTCTGTGTCTGAGTGTGTGTTCTGTATTAGGGTAAATAAGGTTTAAAATAAAAAGAAATCAATCAAGTATAGTGTGAGGCTCAGCAGGTCAGCGAGATAGCTGTCAGGCAATACAGGCAATGTGTCTTAGGCATTAGGCTTATAAGTCTGTGTCAGAGATGGCGCCATCCTGTGGGCATCAGTGACAATAACCACTGCAATAAGCTGCATAACTGCTCTTCCAACCTTTATTTTTTATTTTTTGCTTTAAATATAGGTACAATCATAACATAAATATAAGAAATGTGATATTGAATAAAACTATACAGGTGTACTAAAATAAAATGTAATTTACCTGATCATTTTTTGCCCTGTTCGACACCTGTATTAACAGAACTACAAAAAATATTGAGAAAATATTAGATTACAAATCACTCATTTCTCTTGACTGTGTGCAAAACACTAAAGTCTTTTCAGTTTAGAGCTACATCATATCATGTTCAGCAAAATGCTCAGCCTCCACTTTCAGTTCACAGATAATGATATAACCATGGCAACAGAGACACTTTGGAAAAGGGCAGGGAGAAAACTTAGACATTACTGTCAGTCAAAACCCCTTTTTTTTCCCCAAATGAAAAAATAAAACTCTGCAGATTATTTTACCCAACTTGCTGAGTAACACCTTGAAACTCAGCTGACAGTTCCGTTACATTTATTTTTGTGGATGCACTCACGTCTGTATTATTTTTTGCGCACATTTCACAGGCAACATCAAACATTGCTAATGAGAAAAGCAGAAATATATATTCAGAAACATTTCAGGTTCCTCTGATCAACCACATGTCAGTTAACATAGTCATCAATAGGACTAACTTTCTGTGAGGACTTACTGAGTGACACACCATGGCCCAGAGTGTGAAAACCTTCAAAACATCGAGGAAGTGCCAACCCTGAGTCTTGCCCTAACCTTGCCTTGAGCCATGTGTTGATGAGTCTTCAGTGTGACTGAAACTTCAAAGGCATTTCAGCTCACTAAGCAGAAGATGCTCATTCTCTCTCATCTTCACTCAACTGAATCCCTCTCCAGAAGACATTTTGATGGTTTGAAGAAAAAAAAAGAAAAAAAAAGAAAAGTTTTCTTGGCACTTTCTTGGAACAGCTTTGACCACTGTGGATAGTGGTAAACTAAACGCTGGTAACGCTAAAGTCAGAAACAAGTTAGTTTGACCCCTTGATGGTGAAAACAACATGACGAGCCATTGACATTTCATGACGGAGGGAGCGGGCTTGCCCTGCATATATTTTTCCTGTTTAAGTCTAATGATTTAAAAGCTTAGAGCAGTGTAAGCTTTTCATGAAACAGCAAAAAGTCTTGAGAATAAATGTTATCACACTGAGCTTCTCATCCGTTCAATGAACAAGGTGAAAATCAGCAGCACATCAGAGGTCCCTAATTAAATCAGTATTTTGCATATTTGAGAATTTTTACATCTCAGCACCATCACACACAACTAGTAATTGTGAGGGCATTGTGAGGCGAATAAACAGCGAGTTCCCTGCTTAGTTTGTCTGTTGTGTTCACAGACAAATGGAGGCAGGAAGAGTGTGGTCTTTTCAAAGGCCGCCTGCGAAAACCTGATGGATGCGCAAATTAACACACAGAGGAGAGAAGTTGCAATCCGAAAGCCTCCAATGTTATAATTACAGCTCTTTCCTCCTCCTTGACAAACATAAAGGGGGATTTTTGTCACTCCCCGCTCACATCCTCTTTCTCCCTCTCTTCTCCACCTCTCACTGCACAGCTTGGTGAGCTGGCATTAATTGCTCCAAAAGCAGTGGAAGCACAACAAGTGCTTCTCATCCTGGTATAATTGTGTCTGTAGGAGTTGGAGGGCTTGAGAAGAAAGGGGGCTTTGTAGTACGTCTTGGGAGCCGAGGATGTTTGAGAGAACGTGATATGGTGGCGCACTCTGGTGGACAGACAGTAAAAGAGAAGTTATTTATTTAAGGGGGAAATAAAAGTGTAGAGATTATGAAAAGCATAATCAAAAGCAAATTTACACTTAAAAAAATGTGTCCTCTGATATTATAATTTACATAATCATAAGTGCTTAAAATACCTTATTACATTTATCGTGTGTCATTTTACTGCACTAAGTGTAATAAGTGATGTCATTCATTTATTTTTCTGGAAATGGAGTTTCATTCCTGACCATGTAAACCCACAGTTATATTCATTCAATAATACAGTTATGTGTTTTGTCATTATTTGGTATTTTATAGGTCTTACATATTTCAGCAAATCTCTCATACTGTAGAGAAATCTACCTGCCCTAAGCATCTGAATGATGAAATGAAACCGCCTCATTAGTTTTAGTATCACGCAGTTCCAGTTGCATTTTCTATCCTGACAACAGTCTAATTCTGGGCAAAAATTAGTACAAGTACCTGTCATCTTCCCACACTAACAGCTCATACTCAAAATAATTTCTCTTTGGTCTCCGTCACAGCACATTTAAAAAAAGATGGAGACATAATTAAAAATGGGGAATTCCACATATTGTGTCATCACATGATATTTTAAGATAAATCCTGTGTGTAAAAAAAAAAAAAAAACTCTTTCAGTTTTGTATGTTCTGAAACGTTTACATATCTTGTAAGTCAGAATATGAGTAATGAATGAAGAAATATAAATCCTTGATGACTAACATGCAGTAAAACTTTAGGTTAAGTTGTTCTCTAGTATTACTGTTTGTTAACTTTCAATGCAGAAGTAATGGCAGGTTCATTTTGGATCATGGCTTGAGCCAACATAGACATCAGTGCTTCATGAAATGGCCTGAAGCTAATGGCTGGATGTACCTAATAGAGGATGTTGTCTCTGTGTTCATCCCGGACATGTGAAAGGTTTGAAGCAGCCAGGTGGTTCATGTCACGTTTACCTGAATGTTTCTTAAACCATTTTTGCATCATTGCCATCAAGGTGTCCCATTACTCCATTACAACTAAAAGCCCTGCATTCAAAATCTTGTCAAATAAATATGGTGGAGTAAGAAGAACAATATTTGCCTGTGTAATGTAGTGGGCTGGATGTATAAAGTGACATAAATTAAAACGTTAAAGTATAAATATCTCAAATAGACTGGGTTATTTCCACCACTGCCTGCATGTCCTCACTGTTACAACCTTTTACAGGTAAGAATTTGCATTCCAGCATTGGTTGTTATACCCTGCACCTCTATTGTGATGTTAACTCACCCACTTTTAGACTGGCACGGCTGCCTCCCACATAGCACACACGTTGATGTGGTGTCATCTTCTGCTCTATTTATTGTACACCTTTGATATTTTAACTTTATGGTCAAACCCACCCTCTTGGCACCAACACACTTCACACCCACCTTCAGTAATATACTGAAATGCCAAGCTGCCATCACTGTATATACACTAGTTTATTTAGAGGCACATTAGCAAATAGAAAAGGCAGGATCTGCTTGTGCTTGTGAAGAGCTCATATTTTTCCTATCACTGAGTGTGTGTGATACTGTTATATGAAGAAATACATTGGAAAGGTAAAACTAAGAGTAAAAAACACAAAACAACATTTGCGCTAAACATGGGTAATTTTTATTTAGCTAGTGAGTTACCTAGAGGAGAAAACTGTCACATCCTTGCAGTTGATGTCTTGCCGTTTTGGGGGAATCCCGGTCAAGCCGAGCAGAAACAGGATTGTCGGGGTTCTCCCAAAAGTGCTAAGAGTTGTTGAGGACAGACAGTCTGATTGAGCCTGAGGTACGGTAGAGTACATCAACATCAGAGCAAAGACAGTCACCCACAGGGCCCAAGGAGGCCACCACTAGTTGTACCAGAGCAGCAGGTTTCTCCTCAGACAAATGCACTTCAGAATGACAGAATCACAAGAGAGAGAGAGAGAGAGAGAGAGAAAGAGAGAGAGAAAAAGAAAAAAAAACAAAACAAAGATGCAAAGATGTGCACTGGATGGCGCTTGCCAACGTGCTGCATAATTGTAATCTTTTGGTACACGGAAACAGATGCAGATAGGAAGGGAACAGGTAGAGGGAGGATACATCCTATGATTGGCATGATTGTGGCTGTTTCCCAATTATTTCATCCCACCTGTCAATCATCCACAGCCTCTGTCTGAGAAGGATCAGACGGCTGAATACAGATTCGAGTACAAGATTAATTTATACATGTTGTTTAAATCTCTTCAGGAGCTAATGGAGCTCACCAATATCCCAAACATTTGAGGCATTAAAAAAATTACAAATAAGCCCGGTGAAATCTTCTGACTACTCTGGTTAGTCAGTTAGTTGCTCACAAACAAAATCAAAGAAGAACACAGAGTTAGAGAGTTAAGGGTATTGGTAGAGGCTGTTTAGAAGGACTGAAAGTGCTTTAAAGACAGAGTTTTCAAAGTGGGTTCTTTTTCTCGTGACACAGGAACACGGGGTTTGATGCACCAGTCAACAGATACAGATGAGTCCATCTATTGTCATGTTCAAGTGTTCAGATACATTGTCATCTCCAGCGGAAAGATTGTAAGAGCCTTTCCTCCTTTCCTCCTGGTTAGGCAAATTTTATTTAAGGTCCTACGTCATTAGTGTTGCAGTTCTAGCAGAGAGCTTGCTTGAAGGTTACTGTTTATTTCTATTGCGCTCCTGGCGAGAGAGAGAAAAAAAAAAACAGAAAGAGATGATCAGTGGATGGTATCAGAACAAGAGCAACAAGAGACACAAACAGCTAAGAGAGCAACATCGGAGCTGCTCCCGTGATTATACTTCCCTGACAGATGATCAAACCCCATTTATGAAAGCAGTCGATACTGATTTTACTTCTTAGACAACATGTATCGAATGAACGCCCTTATTGTGTTGATCTCCATTTGTACGACATCCGCCAATGTCATTCATCACTTAGAATCGATTGGATGCTTCTATTTTGAGTACATTCATATGTGTTCTTTGAATTATACATAGAAAATATTCAATTACAACTCAAACTTCAGTAATAAATTGACAGCATCAGTCAAACCGGGGGCGGCGGTGCAGTCACAGCCTGAAAAGATCCTTTCCTGTTTCTGTAAAACTGCTCGACTTAAAGGTTCAGTTGGTTTTAACAATTTCCTTAATCTGTGCTTTTTGTGCAAGGAGCCAAGTGGGTGTCTCAAAAGCTACCAAAGAGAATTAATAATACAAATGTGCCGTTGAAAGTAAACTCAGTATAAATGTTTTTCTGTCAGTTGTGGCTATTTGAGGACAGTTAGTCTGCACTTCCCATTCTCTATGGAAAGTACTGGTTTCCACACCTGGTTTCAGAGTCTGGTTTTAGTGATTTCATTTGAAGCTTAGATAGTATAGATGTAGATGACTTAAATAATAATGTATTCCAATGTGGGCACAATTTAACCAAACTTAAAAAAAAGACATCACAATCTTGCAAGGATAAAAATGATGATTAGATATTTACAGAAAAAAAAAAAAAAAAAAGCATTTAACCTTCATCAACCTTCCAGGGCTCATCAGATGAAAAACACTCTAAAAACAAGATGAGAACCACATATCATATTTTTGGGTTGGTCTGATGTTGTCATTCTTGTTGTTGTTATAGTGATTTATACTACACTGGCAGGAAAACTAATCAATCACCGAAGCAAGGATATTTAGGGGCTTTTTTCAGTTTACTGTTAAAATAAATGAGACAGAGATTATCAAGAGAGTGTCCCCTGTTTGAAAGATGGAGAGAAAATGAGTTTAGTACGCCTCAGGTATATATTAACCAGAACGTTCAGCTATGTTTACACTTGTGGCATGAGACTGCAGCCACGACTCTCGGCTTGTAGTAATAAGTCTCACTTGGCTACTGATAAACACAAAACCAGCACCACGCATACGCAAAAAATCATGAGTAATCACAACACATCTTAAATATCAAATAATCCAGGGTGTGTTGTGTATTACAAACAAAGAGAAATGTGGTAAGAACAGTCAGTTTCTCATTAAAGACATAATGGAAAAGCCATAAAGGTCAAAATAACCCGGGGATCTTCATGGACTGATGATACAGGCTAAACTTTCAGGCTGTCTAAGTGCCTTTTTTTTTTTTTTTTTTTTAGGTGGGACCGTGTGCTCTCTGAGGAGTGTTTGTCCATGTCAGTGGTCTGGGAAACATCCTGCGACACCCAGGGCCACAGTGTGACTCTATCCCCAGAAGGGCTGTGGCCCTGGGGACAGGAACCTTCCCAAAACTCCCTTACACATCAGTAAGGTTGCAGGTCATATCAGTTATTCAATGAAAAAAAAGAAAAGAAATTTCTTCGTAAAATGAGTCAACTGAATTTTCTTTTTATTAAAATCCTAACTTGATATTAAGTCTGATTTTCAAGTAATAAAACTCCTTCCTTGTGCGAAATAAATAAATAAACCCAGTTAACTGCATCTTTACTAGTATGATACAGCTATAACCATTACAGCAAACTGCCATTCACCCCAACGTGCCATGAGATTCCTTCTTACAGTACATCCTGAGGAAGGAAGGAGCTAACCTCTATGTATTAATTACCAAATTAGTTATGCTAATAAAATCCCGCAACAACATTTAGATCTAAAGTTATCTTAAAAAACATTTTGGGATGGTGTTACAGTGCAGGTAGCTGTGCTGGTTTGACACCTCTCAAAGTTCGGGAAGGACAGCCCAAACAATAGAGAACAATTAACCTTGTCAGGCGAAGGAGGGTGAGGCCTCAGCTGGGCCGATCCTGTCATGTAGGAGGTCAGGGCTACAAAAGCAGCACAGCGCAACGCCTGCACGACGCAGGATGAAACAGGCTTTCTACTGACAGGTTGTTTTCAGAAGCCTGAAAACATTGACTTGAAATATTTATGAGAAAGTAACCCAGCGCATATTAACAAGGTCAGCAGCGAGGAGTCAATACAGCATCAATGGAGCACCAGCAGTGGGGGAGTGGGAGAAAAAAAGGAGGGGGGCAGGTCATGGGGGTTTTCTAAACGTAATTAGATTAGCATACTGGTGAATCTAAGAATGGATGCAGCAGAATGCTAGCAATGATAACATATTATCCACTGCTTGGCTGCTGTTTTTCCACAGCAGTAGCAACCCACAGAGTTTTTACTACTTAGACTAACATTTGTGGTACACCACTGTTATTACCACTGCAACATATTTTAGTTTCCCCTCTGAAGGTGCAGGCTTGCACAGTGTGTGTGCTTTTCAAAACTATGTGCACAGACAAATGTAATTAATCACGCATTTTCATCATGTGTTTTGCTAGGAAATATTTTTAAAATCAACCCTTTACAACATCTAAGGCAAACTGTGCCAACTCTGAGGCACGGTTGCAGCCAGTTTGCAGGCCGAGGGCTTATGTTGTTAAAGACTAATAAAGCATGAGGAGCCTGTGGAGAGCAGAGAGGCTTGGTGTTCAAAGGGAGATCAGTGCCTACATCTGCCTTTGTCTGAGAGAAAGAATGCCAGGAATGTGGGCTATTTCAGGAAACCTCTATGCATCTAACTCCACTCGGGCAGATCATCGCAATCTCGACAGCACAAGATGGCTGATGAGGAATCAGGGATTCCTGAACCTGCTTATGAGTAATGGTGGCATGTCAATCTGCTGACAGTCCTCGGGGAACTTCCATTTACGGCAGACAGTTCATTCAGCAACAGGATGTTACAATCTCTGTCTAAAAGCAGGTGGAACAAGATCAGCTGACTACAGTCTGGCTGTAGCCTTTAGCAGTGACTCAGTGAAAGTTAGCCTCTCTTTGAATTAAAGGGTGACTAAACGGAACTGTCTCATGCATACAAACAAGCTATTTACAGAGGAAAGGGCTGTTTAAATGTGTGTTTATCTCACCTTCCTCAGAGCCTCCTCCTCTTCCTGACGTTTCTCATAATGTGCAAAGTCATCAAAGATTGAGGTGGTATGCTTGTAAGTGGCGATAATTTTAAGCACTTGTTTGGCCTTCTCCAGAGGCACTTCCTGAGTGTCCCTGGAGTTGGTCACTGGCTTGTTGTCATTGTTCTCCAGCCGGATGTGTCGCAGCTGGTTGTTGGGCACGTCTTTGATGAAAACCCACTTCACCTCAAACTTGCCCTTCCACTTGTCCTGAGACCAGACGCCTGCATAGGCATTGTAGTCCACCGGTGAGCGCATCTCGGCCACGCCACAGAAGTGCCCACTGCCGTTGACACTGAACAACAGGTACAGAGGCCCCTTGTTGCCCAGTGAGCGGTAGGCGCCATCCAGGCGCTTGTTGCCATGTTCTGTACTGCACCAGATAGAGTACTTGATTGAGCGGTGGATGTCATCTTCTGAATAGCTCTTGATAATGAAAACACGTCCATTTTTCAAGTTCCAGTCAAAGTCTTTGGGGTTGTAGTTGTTGAGGGCACGCAGTTTCTCCAGCACGGGGTGCACTTCTCCAGAGCAAGGGGAGGCACTGAGAGGGACTCCCCCACCCAGACCAAAGCCCTCACCACGGTTCCTGGGAGCCACCCAGCGGTTGGGAGGCGGGCCGGGCTGCTGGGGTTGTTGCTGATGAAGGGGCTGTGGGGGGCCAGGTTGAGAGGGGAGGTGCAGGTGCGGCGGGCCAGGGGGCAGAGGCTGGGGGTGTTGAGGGGACTGGAGAGACTGGAGCTGGAAGGGCTGGTGTTGGTGCTGGGGCTGGTGCTGAGGCTGAGGGGGCAAAGGGTTCTGCAGTAAGGGCTGGGGTTGAGCTAGGAGAGGTTGCTGCACCAGAGGCTGCGGGGGCATCATAGTCTGAGCTAATGGGGGCTTATTCAGAGAGCCCTTATCGTCCCAAGTACCAATGTTGATATTGTGCTTTATGGGAGGTGGGGGAATGGTGGCGACTCCCCCCATCCCCATGTTGGCTTTGGGTTTGACCTTGGGCTGTGGCTTGGCGGGCTTCTTGGCAATGGCTGCCCAGGAGGCAGGTTTAGGTGCTGATGAGCTGACAGACGGAGGGAGGCTATTGGCTGCCATGCTGCTCATACATGCTGTGCCTCCTAAGGGTGAGCCCACGGTTTTGGTGACAGCTGCCACCATGTCTGTACCCAGTTTTAACCCTGTCATACCCTGCTCAATGCTGTTCAGTACCGGCACCTTACTGAGCTGGGTGTCGCTTCCAAAGCCCGCTTGTCCGTCCGTGATGGCCCGTCCCAGTGAGCTGGGGGCATACCCATAGCTGTTGCTGTATACTGAGCTCTGTGTGGACTGTCCCTGAGAGACACTGGTACCCCAAGTGGAAAAGTCCGCATTACCAGGGAAGAAGTTGAAGCCATGCTGGCCAAGGAAGGGAGGAGTGTTTCCCAGGGCACCTGGCTGGCTGAACACACCGTCAGGGATGTAGTGTGGCTCACCATTGCTCATCTGTCCATAGGTAGTTAGGTAGGGCATGGGAGGGTCTCCTGCTGTGGACCAAGCAGCCTCTCCCAAAGAGTAAGGGAAACCAATGGATGGAGCATAGTAGCTGGGCATGTAGGGATCAGACATTGGTGGATAGCTGTTACTCTGTATAGAGCAGAGGGACAACCAGTTAATGTCATCATAGAACCACAGGCAGTACAATTAAGAAACCAGCAACAAATGGAGTTCAACACAAAAACAGCTGAAATCTTGAGGAACAAACAAGAAAATCTCAAGCAAACTAGGATGACAATAGCAATACGTTGCATGGCTGTCACCTCTGATATACAACTGATTTGTTGAAAGTATGAGGTTATAGGCGGAGTACTGACCGTAACTACAAATTTGTCACTCTGAACAGACTACATTAAGATATACTGTTACCTGATTTGTCTGGCCGCTTAAGTAAGGCTCAAAATCATCATCATTCACACCATCCTTTTGATGCATTGATCCGTTTTGCACTAAGGGTGAGAAAGAGAGGAGATTAAATCATCATAGAGTTAAAATGTATGTGATTCCCAAATAGTTAAAACTCAATACGTCAGCTGATATATATATATATGTATTTGTCACAGGTTTGAAGTAGTCAGATCTAAAACTTGAGATCTCAGTGTGGTCTAACATCATTTAAAAAAAAACAACAAATGCAGAATTAAGGAGTGTCAACAATGCTACCATGCTGTAGCCTATATACGCTGCATTTTCAAAGCACTATCATCAACTAACCTGATACCACGTTAGCTGGTTTGAAATGAAAACAGCCGGCACTGCCACACTGAAATACATTTTAAAAATGCGTAGGCTACTTCTGCACCATTTTTAAAATCACTGTTTAAAACCCTTACCTTTATTTCCTTGTCCTTTAGGTCTCTGAAATAATGGGCAGCATAGGAAAAAGAGATGAGACTGTTGTCAGATCACGACAGGAAACAAGAAGCGCACACACACACATACACACACATACACACACACACATACATACACACACACACACACACAGAGCCGGCTGTATCCTATATGGATTAATGTAACAGTCGACTATAGTAACCTCGGGCTCAAGCCATCAGCCCGGATGTTAACATTTACAGGTTGCTTCGCTTTAACGACCGGATGTCAAACGCTCTGACATCCAGTAAACGGTGCCGCATTGGCAACCGGCTACAGCTGGAGTTGGTTGGAAATACAGTCGGCCTACATTACAGCTAATAGCTATCACATATCAAAGACTTTTTAGCCTGTTTGATCTGGCGTGCCAAACCAGATCAAACTGTTGTCGGTAAAGTTTCATTTCGCCGCACAGCTAATTTATAGCACCGTTCAGCTGTCAATACACGAACCTGATCGACTGTGGTCGCAGACATCCTCCAGGAACCGAGACTGATCGCTGTTTGTGAGACTGTCCACGGCTTCCCCCTGCCTCTCTCTGCACTTCGGCGCTTTCCTGGCTCGTCTCTCGGGTTGTCCAATCACTCTGTTAACGTTACAAGGCGGCGTTTTCCTCCCGTGGTCAGACCTGACGACGATCTGCTTCTTCTGACGGTTACAAACGGCGACTTTGTGTCTGTGGAGAAGGCGTCAATTGATGTGTACGATCCTGCCACAGATGGTCTTTATCAGTCAATCTGAAACTGACTAGTGTCTTACTGGAATATCCCTTACCATATTCCACAATGGCGGATAGGCTCTTTACTCCCGCTTCCGTTCCGTTCTGCTGCTCCGTGACCTTCCGCCTGTGACGCTCTGAGTCATGTTACAAACTGACACTTCACATGACAGTCACAATCAAACAACAAGTTCCCCTCTACTTTCCGTTGCTATATTCTCTACCCAGGGTAATTTAAGCCTTTTACTGACCTGCTGTTACCCTAACTGATATCAGAATAATAGTCACCTCTTCACTGTGGAGCCCCTTGTGGGGTAGCTACTACCTGCCAAACCCGGTTTTGGATGGACGCCTGAACTTGCATGTAGATAAAATACAATAAAATAACACAAAGTAAAAATTGACGCAAAAGAAAAAAAGAATACGTGCAGAGGAAGTCGTGGAAAGTCACTGATTACATTTACTCAAGCAAATGTACATGTACCTATTTATCACTTGAGTATTTTCCTGCTACTTATGTTTCACTGCATTTCAGGGGGAAATATTATACTATGGATAAAACATTTCTACTTAAAACATATGGTGAACCCATAGTATATAATGCGTTATTATGGGTTAAATTAAATAATACTTTATAATGTACATACAATTAGCTCTACTTAACCAGCCACAATATTAAAAATACTTACACATGAATACTAAGATTTAAAAATCTAATAACATCATACAGATCTATAATATAATAGACACAGAATCCATTTTAATAGAGGATGGATGTCAATACTTATTTCAGCTGGACTATACTGAGGAGTAACTAAGTCCAATTAAAGGTTTTTAATTTTATATTGACAAATATCTCTAGGCTTCTTATGCCTATAATAACACTTGACACCAACAAGCTTTTGGCTGCCATTATAGATAAAAGAATACCATGTTAGTGAATTGCAGAAATTTAGTACAATTTATTGGGTTTGGATCTGAGCACGAGTAACAACAAACTAAAGCAAAATATATTTTTAAAAAGTTAATAATGTTATATGACTGCAGAGAGCAAGCAACTCCACAACTGCTACATCTACTGCACTACAGTACAGCTTTTAGGTATTTGTACTTTACTTATCCATTTTCTGTTACAAACACTTTTACTCCATTGCATTTGTCTGGGGGCTGTAGTGCCTAATGACATTGCAAATTTAGATTTTGCATACAAAACATGTCGTCATTTCACAAAATATGGTGGATTGTGTATATTAAACTGCACAATTGTGCAATTGTTTGTAAAATCAGCTCCACATTGATACTACACTGTAATATTCGTCCTAATATTTAAAGTTCAAATACTTCTTCCGCCACTGCTCCACATAACTCTAGCCTACTGTAGATGCAATGTAATGAAATGTAAAGGGACTATAACAGTTGTGCTCTGAGAGTGAACGAGAGTCACTGCTGCTACTCTCGCGATACTTCCTCAGTGGTCGCGTAACAGTATGGCAGCCGTCGCGCTGAGGTCCTGCCGCAGAGGACTTTCACAGATTTTAAGTAATGGAGGGCTCGCAGCTTTGTCTTCAAAGCGTTTGGAAGGTTTGTTTAAACTCTGCTGTTGGCGCAAGTCATTTCTCAGCAACTGTGTTTCATACTAGGGTGTTTAAACGCTCAGGGGGGGTGTGGCTCACACAGACTGCGTCGTCTTAAAAATTTAGGGCAATGTAAACGGTGCAGCGTTTGCGCCTGTCTTTGAGCGCCGCCTGCTTTGACTCTCGATGTATTTGGAAACGCTTTCACGTTAATTAGCTTAACTTAGCTTGTGAAAATATACCAAAGTCATTGATACGTTTTGCCGATATCAATAACATGCCGACAGTTTCCCAAGTACCGGTGTGCTGTTTGTGTCAAGAGAAGCCATGTCTCATAAAATGTGGTGTGATGTTGTATCCAGCAAAGCTGTTGTCTGATTTAGCTGCCTCATCTTCATAACGTGTTTTGTCATAGTAGTAATACTTTGCACTGTGTCAACCAGGAGACAGAAGACACAAGTCCACAGTTCAGTATGCTTCACGACCAGAACTTCCGAAGTTGGCATACAGAAGAGTGAAGGGGAAGAGCCCAGGTGTGGTCTTCCTCCCAGGATATGGCTCCAACATGAATGGGCAGAAAGCTGAAGCACTGGAGGAGTTCTGTAGGTCACTAGGGCACTCATATCTTAGGTAAGCCATCCAAACACACCACTCACAGAGGTATATATAGAGACCATTGCATGCTCATAACCTCACGACATTCTGATAGATCAGATCAGACAGACCTACCTCATATATACTGGTCCTGGGTGACCATAGTCTGGGTTTTCATTTTTTAAAGCTGAGGAATGCCTGCAATATCTTCAAAAATACAACTTTTAAAAAATATTCAACTCTATTCATATTGTATTGTACATAAAACTCAACACAGTTGATCTAAAGTGAGTTACAGGGTTGCAAAGAACAAAAATATCATACATGAACTGGAAAAGATGCATGCACCCACCACACACCCACAGTTACACTCCTACAGTTCTGATCAGTGAACAAGAGATCAAGCACAAGTAGACAATAAGCAAAATGTGTATTTAGTTTAGATAATAAATAGAAGGAAGAAGTTGTATTTCTACTGGGCAGCCACAGAAAAGACCCTGCCACCATAAGATTAAGTTAGATTTAGTGGCTTTCTTACTTTTAATGAACAACAAAAAATGTGACTGAGCTAAAATGGCATGTATCTTACTATAAATAATAACTTAAATTGATATGCTGTCTGATTTTGATGCATTATGGGTCCACATAAAAGTAGATACTGTGGCAAGAAAGAGTATGTAGTTTGGAATTACTTGCATTTATGTATAAATTTGTCTTAAAATATGGTCAGATCTTCATCCAAGTTACAATTATGAACAAAGACAATCTATTTTAACTAAAAACACACAAATCATCGTATTGTTCAAATCATTTAAAGATTCACAGTGTGGGCTGGAAACAGTATGTGAACATCTCAGCTTATGGCAGTTTTCAAAACTGTATTCCAGTCCATGAAACCATATTGGAGGTGTGGGTTAGAGCTACTTTAACTCAAAAAAAAAGATAAAAGAACCACCTAAACATTTTGAGTTAGTTATTCACAAGAAACATCTGCTGGTGTGAACTGTGCCTCACTTATAAGATCCTCAGAAGACGTGGGATAAAGAATTGTTGATTTGCCTATAGCTTACAAAAGCTTGCCTGAGGCTTATAAAGTCATCTCAAAAGAGTTTAGATAATCATCAGTCCACAGTTAGACAAACTGTCTATAATTGGAGATGATTTGGGTCTGTGGCTACTCTCCCTAGAAGTGGGCGCACAGCTAAGATGATTCCAAAAGCACAATGCAGAACGCTCGGTAACAACACAGAGGAAGCTGCTGCTCTCTTAAAAAAAAAAAAAAAACACCTCTGCATCCCTCAAGTTTGCCAAGGAGCCGCTTGACACTCCACAATGCTACTGGGAAAATGTTTTATGGACTGATGAAACTTATGTTAAATTGTTTGTGAAGAACATGCAGCACTATGTATGATGAAAAATACCAACATGGAAACATCTGAAACATGAAGTAGGGTGGAGGGAACATCCTGATTTTGGGCTTTTTTTTCTGCCTCTGGGCCCGACAGCTCGACATCATCGAGGGGAAAATGAATTCCTAAGTTTATCAAGGTCTCTTACAGGATAATGTCAGGGTGGCTGTCCACCTGCTGAAGCTCAGTAGAAGCTGGGTGATGCAGCAGCAAAATTATCTTAAACATCAAAGTAAATCTACTACAGAATGACTTCAGAAAAAGAAACTTCATCTTGTGAAATGGCCAGGTCAGAGCCAGATCTTAAACTAGGAGAGATACTGTGGAATAACCTGAAGAGAGCTGCTCACGCCAGCTATCCTAAGAAAATGTCTGAGCTGAAGCGGTTCTATAAGGAGGAATGGTCCAGAATTCCTCCTGAACATTGTCGGTTTAATTTTCTGTTAAACGACAGACTGATAAATCAATGGATCATTTCAGTATTTGAAGAATACCTCCAACCATTCCAGACTTCTCATCGTTCTGTAAAGCCTCCATTCCTGCTGTGGTTGGATATCAAAAACATGGCTCCATAGCGTTAAGCACATAAAGGCCCAGTCCCATGTTGATTGCAGTATGTGACTGATGTATTTTACTCATGATGTCTACAAAAAAAAAAAAATCAACTAAAAACCAAAACAAACTTGTCTGTGACCTTGTCATGTCGTGTTTTACCCTCTGATACCAATGGCCATCGGCTGTTCTATTTATATTTCCCCAGGTTTGACTACACAGGACATGGGGCCTCAGAGGGGGTGTTTGCAGAAGGAACTATTGGTACCTGGAAAAAAGACGTCCTTTTTGTGTTGGATGAATTAGCAGAGGGGCCACAGGTAAAGTGACATGCCCATTTGGAAGTGACTGGTAGTTAGTTAGCAATAAAGTTACAACAACATTGCTCAATAGGGATGGGAATTGAGAGTTGGTTTCAATTTGGAACAGGTTTCAAATTATCAGGTTCCTGAGAACCATCTCGCTCTGACACTGTCAGTTATGGATTTCTGTGCATTGCGAACCACAACTTAATGTCTGAAATCATGCGCTAGGGAATATGCACTGTCTAGGTGTTTTAAAATGTATAGTTTTTTATCATTTAATTGTATTTTAACAGATTGGACAAAAAGAGAAAAAGGTAAGGTGTGCAAAATATGGATTTCAGTCTTGAGTTACAGGGTTATATTTGTTCATTGTACATGCATTAAATCACAGGAATGCGTTTTTAAATAAACCGCAGTCAAGTGAAGCATTCTTTCACAGTACAAAAGTGTCTGTGTTGCCGACCATGAAATCTCCCAGTGAAAATATTTCCATTCTGTATTATGTCCACATCAGAGCCACATAGGCAGCCTTAGCTCAGACAATTTCATGAAAAGGGAAATTAAAAACACTTGTTTTGCAAAAACAACATAAAAATTCTGATGTTTGATTCACATTGTAGTTCCACACCACTAGTGAATTATTATAGCGATAAATCAATTGACATAAAATTAACATTATAAAACCTGCATTTAAAACCACTGTTTGCTCTCAATAAATTGCCAAAAAAAGAGAATGTATAAGAGAATTGGATCAAACAGCAGAATCAATATTCGGAATTGGAATTAAAGTCCTTTTAACCTAGTATTTAATGTGTGTATTCTTCCATGTCTCCAGACAGTGGCACTGTGTTACCATATTTGTGATGTTATTAGCCCTCCACTATTAGACTGCATGAATCTGGTGGTGTCTTTATGGAATGTTTTTAAGGGTTTTTTTTCCATTTATTTCTTTATTAATCAATTTGTCATTTGATTTACAGTTTATTTATTGGGGGTTTGCTTACTTATAGATAATGGTGGGTTCCAGTATAGGCGGTTGGCTCATGCTATTGGCAGCCATTGCAAGACCAGAGAAGACTGCTGCACTGGTGGGCATCTCCACTGCTGCTGATCACATTGTCACATCATTCAACACTCTTCCTCTGGAGGTAGGAACATATGATATTATTATATACATCCCATTCCTTTAGTCATTTAGTTTGAAAGTTTGCTGGCATTTCATTGAGTGACGATTTCTAAGTGCGATTTGTCCATGTTTGAATTTGCAGGCACGTAAGGAGTTTGAGGAGAAGGGGGAGTGGACAGTGCCCACCAAACACTCAGAGGAGGGCATTTACAAGTTTAGCATGAACTTTCTGCGTGAGGCAGAGAATCACTGTGTGCTCCAGAGTCCCATCCCCATCACTTGTCCCGTGCGGCTCATCCATGGGCTCAAAGATGAGGACGTCCCCTGGCACATCTCCATGCAGGTTGCAGAACGTGTCCTCAGCCCTGATGTGGATGTCATCCTTCGGCGGCATGGCCAGCACCGTATGTCTGAGAAGGACGACATCAAACTCATGGTCTACACTATTGACGATCTCATAGACAAGCTGACCACTATGGTCTGAGTAAGGGATGGGAGAGTGAGCTTGAGAGGTTGCTGGGTTAAGGAGAGATGGACTGTGTTTACTGGGAAGTCAACCCTCAAGGAAATTACCAAACAATGGCATGTTTCTTTGCCAAATATGACCTTTATCCATCTCTGTTATCCTCCCCGTACTTCATCTGTCATTTTCACATGCCGTTACAGTGCAAACTATATTTAAAGGGACCTCTCCTGTTAGCTGTTCCCTTATATCTTCAGGTTGCATTTGTGCGTGTTCCAGGTTATTATGTTGACTGTTATGTTGGTCAGCCATTGTTAGGTCTGCCATTTGCTGCTGTCTCTGCCACTGTTCTTACTGTTTTCCCTCCCTCTTTAATTAGATGCATAGTTTTCCTGTGCCTTTTTTAATCACTTTTCACCCGTTTTGGCCAATAAAACCTCTGCACACTAGAGTGCAGGTCTCAGTCTGTTACCACAACTAATACACTATGATAAACTGACACACAACTGTCTTCATGAATTATGACAAAGTTAACATGCATACAATGCGTACTGTCAAGTATGAGAGGATTTTCTTAAATATTTCTTATGAAAGTTGTACATTTTTAAAATGTCAAACTCAGATAAAAAATGATTCAAAAATTAGCATGTCAACACAGTGAATGAGTTGTACAGAGTGAGTCAAAATCATCAAGGGTTGTAGGCTACAGCCATGCAAGGTTTATTTTTGCTAGCAGGACATTCTGTTACATGACTCCCCATACCTGTTGGCCTTTAGCCAGAGAGAGACCTGCTGAATGGAGCCACTGGGCTGTTGATTATTAACATGTAATTGGCCACTAGCTGCACTATGCTCAATGGGGCAAAACCAACCACTTAACTCTCTCATGTCTGCTTAACTGCAGCTCTGACCTTTTAACTCATGGTTGAGCTATGTAGTCATTCATTTTGTGCATCAAAACTTAAGATCACACAGATTTATGGGCGCACACAGCATAATTGTAATGCAAGCAGAAGAGATGGTACAGAAAGGCATTGCATATGGTGACGTTGCTCCGTTTGCTATCGTTTTCATATGAAGCAGATTTGTGCAACTCACATCCTTGTTTACCAAGAAATCATTTCCAAGTATGCCACATTTTAATTGTTTGTTGACTAGTTGCTTAAAATAAGGCAGCATGCGCTCCATATTGAGCCACAGCACTCAGCAAACAGCATTTCCCCAGATCATTTATCTACCACAAAAAAACTCAAATTCAATAAGCAAAGAGAAATGGCTCTCATTACAAGAGACAGATGCTGTAACAAACAATAACCCGTAGTGTCAGACAAATAATAAGTCAGGAGGGAGAGCAACTGTTTAAAAAAATTATCCCAAAAGACAACACAGGCAAAAATCCTCTCTGCTAAGGTGCCATTCAGCAAGAATTTACCAGTTATAATGAAGACTTTTTATATTGTACAGTACAGACTTCACCTCTCAGACAAGAGTTTAGAAAGCAGCTAAATTAATTTGGCACCATCATGTGCCTTTGCTTACTGAAGGTCAGTCCATGCTGCCTAAAACTGAACATGCACTACAGTGACCACTGTCCGGGAGCGGTGTCAGATCGCATCGTGTGTTGAGAGTCTCTCGGGACCCCTCCTGGAGGAGCTGGCATATAAAACGAGCGACTCGCCCCTCCCGGACAAAGTGAGATTCAGCCTGGCTCGACGCGCCTGTGCTGCGCTTCATGGATGCTTCAGCACTTCAGCATCCTCAGCCCTGCCCAGCTCAGCGGAATTAACGCTGTGTTACCGGACGAATAACCGCTCTCTGCTCTTTAGTAAGTGCTCGTAGTCTTCCTTCGGTGCATGACATGTTGGATATATTAATGTTTATGTAACAGATGCAGTGTCGCAGCCAGTGTGTGAGCTTTGCGCAGTTGCCTTTTGCTTTGAAAAAATGTTCATGTTTTTAAAAAGCTGCAGAATGCGTAGCAATGTGGTGTCGTAACTAACATTAGATGGCGGGACTTTATTTGAATTTGCTGAATTTAACTTAGGGAAGTGCGTCCTACAAGAGATGCAGCGAAGACAATCAAATGAAAAATTAACACAACATGCGGCAAAGAAGACTGACGTAATTTAATTAAAGTGGATTGCAGGCTAAATATAGAGACGTTGTACATTTTGTGAATGCATGTTTTGTAAGAGGGTAAACTTTATTAAAATACATTTGATTATTTAATTTGCGTCACGACTGCCTACTGTCGGTCATACCGAAACCATCATCCCATGTACAGCGAAATCACGGCAAGCAGCGTGCCGGAAACAGGCTTGATTGTTACCATAGCAATAAGAGGGCTTGTCCCTGCTCGGGACAGATGCCAGGGGACCACACCCTTCCCCGTTACAGCCTCCAGAGATGCGCCTGGGTGGACTGCTGAGCTGGAAGGGAGACAGGTGCTGTTGGAGAGAGGGAAACCAGGCTTTTTGGCTTTTTCTTCAGACACTGAAGTGGTTTATGGTCATGCTCTAATGCAACAGATTTACAGAGAATATTTGAACTCTGTGTAACTGTGTTATCCTGTAGCCATTTAATCAGGATTATTCACTAAAATCTCTCTAATATGCTAAAATGGGTCGGTCTATATTATGAACATGAGGCTGATGTTTTTCAGAGTATTTCAGCAGTTTGTTACAGAATAATACTGTGTACCATGTGTTCTCTTTAGAGCTACTATATACTACATATACTAGAGTGTTGCTGGTGCTGCCATGGCGAACAGAGGGCCCAGCTATGGACTGAGCCGGGAGGTGCAGGAAAAGATCGACCAGAAGTACGACCCAGACCTGGAGCAGAGGTTGGTGGACTGGATAGTTGCACAGTGTGGAGGAAACCTGGAGAGACCACAGGCGGGCAAACAGAACTTCCAGAAGTGGCTGATGGATGGAACAGTGAGTGGCTGCAGTACTTGCACTTAAAATAGTAGTTACGATTGAATTATTTAAGATATAGTGTGATAGGTCTACCAGCTCTGTCAGATTTAAAGAGACCGTGAAGTAAAAAAAACTAATATATGCAACCATATTTATGTGCCCAGTAATTTTTGAAGGCTTGAGTAAATAACATTAGTCTTAAGTTACAGTACTGGGACATTTATTTTCCCTTATAATGTGAAATAATGGACCATTATCATTATCATCACTCCCAACTGAAACTGAGTGTAGAGAAGAGGACTGTGTTGTGTCTTACTGAAAAATAATTTTCAGCAAACAGTGAAGTTTAAGTCTGTAAATGTTGCGATCATTGTTTTGCAAACTTAAAATTTTAAAGTGAGTCACTCTGGGGGCCTTTAATGGAAAAATAGAAAACTCCTCTGTCTCTTCACTGAAAATACTTTGCACTGTAAGATCTAATTAACAACCAATTATAAAAAATGCACCCAGCACAGTGGTGCAGTGTCTTCTTGCTTGACACTCCAGCTGACTCTGATGTTAAAAAATCATTCCGCGAAATCCATCATAGATGAGGCGGAGGCATCAGTTTCTGCACCAGCAATTAACTCAGCAGAGAAGGATGCTATTCAGCAACAAGACATTACATTAGCAATCCCAAAGTGACTTAGACTTTTTTTCACACAATTAGAAATCATCTCAGTTTTCAATAACTGCAAATGCATTTTCATAGTGCATCCCCAAGGGCATGACAACAGTTACTCAAAATAACAAGAAAAGATGAGAGAAAGCTGTTACACCAAAAATATCAAATATGCCATCCAAACATGGCAACTAAGAGTCTCTTAGGGTGACCTATCCCTTTAAGAAGCCTCAGCTGTCAGTATGGTCTGGTCAGTGTGTCATTTAAATTTTATCAAGCCAGTTTTCTGACCTCCTTTACCCTAGATCCTCTGTAGACTCATCAACAGCCTTTATCCAAGGGGGAAGGAGCCCATCAAGAAGATCCCAGAGACTCAAATGGCCTTCAAACAAATGGAGAAGATCTCTCAGTTCCTGCAGGCTTCAGAAGCTTACGGAGTGACAACCACTGACATCTTTCAAACTGTCGATCTCTGGGAAGGTAAAGAGTTCTCACAAAACCAAGATGACACTCACAGTTTTGCATCTGATGACCACATTTTTTGTTCCATCTGTCACCGGGGGGAGCATATATTAATTTGTGTCAGTTGCAGTGGTAAGCTGTTGTCACTACAGGCGGAAAATAAAATTATCCTGTTACTCTGGCCATAGGAAAGGACATGGCAGCGGTGCAAAGGACCCTAATGGCTCTGGGGAGTGTGGCCGTCACTAAGGACGACGGTCATTACAGAGGTGACCACGACTGGTTCCATAGGTAAAGAGAAGGATGACTTTAACATAAGACCATCATATTCTTCACAACTGTATGAACATGAAGCTTTTTTTTCTTTACCTCACCTTTGAATTGTTTTATGTGTGTGTAGGAAAGCCCAGGGGTATCGACGAGAGTTCACCGAAGAGCAGCTGCGTCAAGGACAGAGTTTGATTGGCCTGCAGATGGGCAGCAACCGCGGGGCTTCCCAAGCCGGCATGACGGGCTACGGTATGCACCGTCAGATCATGTAGACCACCTACTACCTAACCTCCTCTGCTTCCAGACCCTTATTTTCTACTAATACCACAAATGTTGTAGCCCCAAAACCTACCTATCCTTTGTAGCACCTGCCGTGTTAACCTCAACCTCCCTGGAATTGCTGCTTTTCCCAGACAGAGTGTTCAATCTGCATCCTAAAAAAATGATGTCAAATGCTGTAGATCTCCGTCTAGCTATCTTCCTCTTGCTCTCCCCTTATGCCATGTGCTATTCCCTCCTTAGCTTTATTGACTCTGTTTCCTGATTTTCCATGTCCAAATGATTACTTGATGTGAAACTCGAAGTCATTCAACATCAATTTAGTCTTATAGAGAACTAAAGATTGAAATCTCCTTACAAAACAGGCCATCAGTGTTATACATATTTTGTATATTTTAAATCGGAAATACTGTAAGACACTGTTACAGCATGTTGAGTGCTATTTATTTGTATTTATGTATTCTTTTATTTAAATGTATCATTGGTCATTGTTTTAGGATTTGTTCTGTTACTGTGTAATTATTTTGCCTTAAACCTAATGGCTCAATGACTGACGATGTCTCTGCTATCTTGTCTGAAGACTTGTTGCAGTATCCTCTGTAACCAAATCAACCTCACGTTGTGCCTGGTTATGGGACTACAGAGACTGGGTCCTGATATATTGGCCTCAAATTATAAATGAATTTCATTCCTTCTGAGCCATGCCCTTGTTATTTGTTAGATTACATCTTTGTCCGTGATGTGTCCATTTTGTTGTCCAAGCAAGTACATCAATGTGCAGCAGCCAACATGTATGACAGTGAAGTTTCCGTTTTTGGTGCCAGGTAAAGACATTGCTTGAATGTGCACATTTATGTATTGTCATGTTTATATTTTTAAATATATTTATATCTGAAGGCTTGTGAGAAGAATTATTGAAAAAATAAAGTATGTGAACATGTATTGGTGTCTTTGTAACACACAAGCTGGGTATCTTGATAGCTGGGAGGGCAGCTATAGCTGGTGTGTTTGGTGAGTTTTTTTTTTTTTTTTTTTTCCTTATCTTGGTTTTATGTTCCAGCCCCTCCCTTGCGGCCCATCCCTCCTGTCTCTCCCCACTGTACACAATCTAATAAAGCTAATAAAGCAGTATGGCATAATAACGACGGTTCAGCTACCAGATAGGCCTGATTCAAGCTTGTGTGCCAGAAAACCTCTGCCTTGCCGAGTGACCTTGAGTAAGATATTAAATCCCCACCTGCTCCTGTTTAATAGCTGATCTAACATCTGTATACTTTTGCAGACGGCCTAGAAAAAACAAAGAGCCACTTAAACTACCACAGAATGTTTCTAGGAATGGTTGTGCATCTCTGTTTTTTTAAGTGACCAAAATGCCTGCTTTGAACATGGGCAACTCATGGGTCTAGCATCTAAATAACATCCGAGGGGTGAGGCTGAGCAGAAATGCTTGTCTAAGGCATTCTAGTGACATTGGGCTACGCTTTGGAGCACAAAAGGTCACATTTGATGTCAGCGATCCAGTTTATAGGGTCAGTTGTTACTGACCGTTGGCATTTCAAAGAGCACATATGAGAAAAGCATGCATGAATTAGCATTTTAGCTTGTTATTAGCATACCATGACTCAAGAGAGCCCATTAAAGTGCTGCCATTTAAATCTTGGACAAAAACAGCAGGTCATATTATTCTAAGGCATGCATCCCTAATGCCATCTTTTTTATTGCTCTATTGAAAATAAGACTTCCTGCCATGGAAATAGTAACAGCATGTAATCATTAGCTCAAGTTTAATATCCTGTTTTTCTTCACTGTATAGGAAGGCAGTACATGTTAAACTATGTGGCCTTCTGCATGTCTGGCCCTCGCATACACTTTGAGTGAGCTTATTATTAGCCTCAACCAAACCAGTGACGTGTCTGAGAGGCACGTGATGTCTAACTGACTCAATAAGTAAGCCAAAAACACCATCAGACCAATGAAAAGGCTTTGACAGGACTGAAGTCACCCCTGTCCAAAGTTCTTGTCCATCTTGTGTTTTCTTTGGTTGGTGTCCTGGTTGTCTTTTGTTCCACTGTGCTCTTTTGTATGCATGTGGTTATGAGGCCAACCATGCACCTGCTTTAACTTTGAGTCTAAAAGTTTTTGCAGTGAGGGATATTAGTTTTGTGAGACAGGTGCATCAAAGACAATGTTGCAGCTGACCTTTAGGACTACTCTTTTGCTCCTTCTGTTGGCGATCCGGTGTGTTGCACAGGAACAAACCCAAACTAAAGGCTGTGTTTGTGGATACCCCGGAATACCAGGGGACCCTGGGCACAATGGCTCACCTGGTAGAGATGGGCGAGATGGAATCAGAGGTGAAAAAGGTGATCAAGGTAAGTTTAGACGTGAAAATATCTCCTTTAGAACTTCACTATGTGCGCATTTTCCTACATGTTTAAGCCTCAACGTCACAATTTGTAATAATAATATTATTTATCAATTTTCCATGAAAAGGTGCAGCGGGTCCTATTGGACCAGCAGGCAATAATGGCTACAAGGGAGACAAAGGGGAACTTGGTATGTACATTCAGATTAAATTGGGGGTCAATAACCTATTACAACATTTATTTATTTGCACATGCTTTAAAGTAGTTTATTGACCTTTATTTGGCTTTCTGGAATATGTAGATACTGCATAGTAAACTCTATATACGCTTCTACACAGTATAGAAGGACAGAAGGGATTACTGTCTGCTTGTCATTTACAGGTGCAGTTGGCCCAGCAGGGCTCAAAGGAAAAAGGGGAGATAATGGAGAAAGGGGGCCTCCTGGGAAAATGGGGCCCCAAGGAGTCCAAGGGCCGATAGGCCTGAAAGGAAATAAGGGAGAACTTGGGCTGCCTGGACCCCAAGGGCCTAAAGGTGATTTGGGGATTCCTGGACCAGAGGGGCAAAAGGGGGAAACTGGCCTTCGAGGTGACAGAGGCATTCAGGGACCTTTGGGACCACCTGGTAGGCCAGGCCCAAAGGGGGAAATTGGCGTTCCAGGACACAAAGGCAACATTGGTTATCGTGGGGACAGGGGCACTCGAGGAGAGAAGGGTGATAGGGGCGAGAAGGGAGATGCACTTGTTATCTCGAAAAGCGCCTTCTGTGTGGGACTGACAGCACTAACTAAACTCCCAGCAGCCAATGCACCAATACGGTTTGACAGGATTATTTACAACCAGCAGAATCACTATGAGCCACAAACAGGAAGATTCACATGCTCTGTAGCAGGAGCTTACTATTTCACCTACCACATCACTGTGTTCTCCAGAAACGTGAAGGTAGTTCTAATGAAGAACGGGGCGAAGATCATCCACACCACTGATAACTACCAGAGCAGTGAGGACCAGGCAGCGGGTGGCGCTGTGCTGCACCTGGAGATTGGTGATAAGGTGTGGCTGCAGGTGGCTGGAGGAGAGCTGTACAATGGGCTCTTTGCTGATGAAGATGATGACACTACCTTCTCTGGGTTTTTAATCTTTTCAGCTTGATTACTTTATAATTTCTGGTATCAGAAAAAAAAATTGATTTTGAAAAATTAGGGAGAGATTACACTGCTGTTTACTCAAGGACTATACTGAAGTACAAATTTCAGGTACCTGTACTTTACTTGAGTGTTTCCCTTTTATGCTACTTCTTCTACACTATATTTCAGAGGGAAACAGCAGATGTTTTACACCACTACATTTTCTTTAACTGCACATAAAGTAATAAAGATTTTACATGCAAAACATGACAGGCATATGAGTACAATTCATCGTCATAGATTAAGTAAGTAGAAAATATAAAACATAAAACATAAAACAGCTCTATCTTAACAAACCACAGGAATAAAATGCATTTTATACATGAAGACATCAGTGCAATTTTACATGGGCAATTTTGCCGCCTTATTTTTTGTTTTTTTGATACTTTAAGTGGATTTTGCTGATAATACTTCCAGGCTTTTACTTATGTAGAATTTTGAATACAGGACTTTTACTTGTATTGGAGTTTAACTTAGGTAAAGATGATTTTTCTCCTCACCACTGTTTTTATGTGTAGACTACATGGTTACTCAGTCACATGTTATTGTATCAAAATGTCAGTATCAGCCTGTAAATGAAATATATATTCAAAGGTGACCTCTGCTTTCTATTTTTACCTCTGCTTTCGTCCCACTTGATTGTTGTCTTACAATAAAGAGCAACTATTTCTAAGTCACCCTTTCTTCCTCTGGTATTTGGGGACAGGCATGCACAAAAAAAATACCCGAGATATTACTTGTCTTGGCTTGACACACCGAGATGACACGCGGAAGACGTGAAACACCAACTGGAAGGCCGAGTCTTTTTTTGTCTTCGGTGATCCGCAGGAAGTGGGGAGCAGCATTGTCTTACCTTTTTTATTTTTTTTTCCTCAATGAAGCGCGTTCCGCGGTGGGCGTGGCCTCATGGTCACGGACTAATCTACTGAATCAGGATTGGCTGTCAGCGGAATGGTCACGCTGCGGTCAACCAGTAACCTCGATCGTAACCTCTCGAAGCCCCGCCCCATGCAAACACTGCAACAAGTGCATTAATGATGCTTGGCAGCTCAATCCTCCAAGAAAGACCTCTTCTAACTGGAGTCAGCAGCGAAATTATAAGCTTTTCTTGAGAAACCTCGGAAGATATAGCATGATTCAGGATTTCTTTTCTCCACTGCCTTGACCACCAACTGGTTTTGCCGGTCGGCGGAGTCGAAATCTAAAACTACAGGGCTTGCGCAATTTAGAAGTTTATCACTGAGCCCGTGAGCTAGCTCAAGTAGCTAGCCCAGTGTGTTAAAGAAATCAGCCAGCCATTTGTCTCAATATGTTGCGGGGTAACTAGTTAGCAGAAGCAGCGCACTGGTGCTTTTTGTACCCGACATGTTTTTGCGAGGGGACAACGAATGCGAGGCAGCAAGCCGTTGGACCTCAGATAAACCCAGGCGACTTTACTATGGCTAAACAACAAAAACAGCTGCTTTGTTGATGTGAGAAAAAAAGGTCAGGAGGACAACATCAGCGACTATGAGCAGGGTGAGCAAACGTTTTGTTGTTTTCTATTAACTCCGCAGTGGCAGGTGATTTTAATTCATAGCTAATATAAGTGATAAAACAATTCATTTACATTATTTATATTATTGGTTGATCACATTACAGTTGTGATGTTCCCGCTTGTGTTCTTGGTTAAAATGGGACCAGAGGGGGTTATTGTAGTGCATTACAGCCCTGGTTGTTATAGTGATGTGGGAGATGCCAGGCTGTGCAGGGAGTTGGTGAAGGAGGGGTTGGGGGCCAGCAACTACAAAGAGCTTAATGGCCAAAGAAAGTTAATTAATGCAGAAATAAATAAGCACTTTGGCCCCGAGTTCTTTATGAGCTTAGAAAACTACTCAGTATAATCCCTTTTCAGAGCTCCTTGTTTTCAGAAACTATTTCATTGTACTCAGGTACTGACATAGCTGCAATTCTTCTGCAGTCACTAGTGCTATCTACTCCTAATTAAAGCAATTAAATAGAACCTGTTGGCATCTCTCCCCAGACAGACTTGTGCTAGAGGTAAAATCTGCTGTCTAGATCATTCGGTGTTAAACAGGTCAGAGTCCTCTGCTTTATACTGCCCCCAAATCCATTTTTACAACAGGACTAAGCACTATACTACAATATCATTTTACACTAGGGTACTTTACCTTTCACACACAGGTGTAATTCTTTCTCATGAGACAAAATAAAACATCCAGTGCATTGTTTGTTTAGTTTTTGAATTTAATCTGCTTTAGTTCAATTCCTTGTGGACTTTTGTTCATAGAACAAGCAAAATGTTCTTTATAACATCAATCAGCCATTTTCAGTGCTGTGACTGAATTAAGTAAAAATGCATCATTTGCACCAGGGAAACAGTGTGCTCATTATTATTATTATCATAAAACTTCTTTTAGATCTGAAGTATAATCTCTTTGCAAGCTCACAAACCAACGGGAAACTGTTACAGATTGTCACTGATTCCTATATCATACTGATTGATTTGAGCTCTTGAGAAGCTTTCTGTTTTCATTGTTTTTGAATGTTGATGGAGTAGCCTATTGGTTATTGTTGTACTCCATTCAGGTTACACTGTTGACAGCGAGGCTCTAGTGTTTTGTCCTCTGTAAGCTTTGTAGACTGTGTGGGGTTAGATTTCTGGTTATCTTTCACTATGACAGTTCAGAGCAGATCAGGTGAGTGAGGTGCTGTGTGTGTGAGAGTGGTGACACTCCCTGGCTCGGCCTGCGCCTTTACTTCCCACGCTTTATAGAAAGGGGCGTGGCATCTCCCCTTCTCTTTCCTTCTGCCAAACCAAGAAATGAGGAACTAGGTCATGACCAAATATGAGACTTGAACCAGAAGACTAAACCAGAGCCTATATGCTTACCTGATCCAGACACTGTGCAAACCGGTGCCATAAAGAATAATAGATAGTGGATTGTAAGTGAGATTTTAATTTGACCCTAGGCGGTGCATTTAGAAACTTTTATCTCTTAATTTTCATCCTGAAATCATAGAGTACACCAAAGCCAAGGTGCCCCCTGCAGTCAGGTCCTGGTGGGCTGTTTACAAGCTTTTGGTGTCACTCTCAGTCAGCGCTGAATAGTCTAGTTGTCTCCCTGATTAGGCTATCATGTGTAGATGAAACCAGTCCTGAACACAGACTGGTAAAGCTCCGCTAATCAGATTATTAGTGGGAAGGAATAGGAACAGGCTATACACATAACATACACACTCCCACTCCCACACACACACTGTTCCCTCGCACAGAAGATTTCCTTCGGAGTCTACTTGCTGACACTTTTAATCTTAGCGTGAAAAAAGGCTGTGAGGCTACCTGGCAAGCATCAACGCTAAATAGATTTTAATTTGGATTCAAATATTTAAGTCAGAATATTGCGGAGTGTTGCTTAATCTTGCCATACAATGACATTCACGTCCATTCATTCACTTGAAAGACAAAATACAGTGAACTTTATCTCTAGTGCTTAACATATGTTCAGCTCCGTTTCACAGAACCTGAGTTGTGCACACTGTTTACAGAAACGCTCATCAGCCAATCTGTACTTTAAAATACTATGTGGTGCTGTTTTAGGACATCCTGGAGATACGTCCTCCTCACAGCTCCTATCCATCGAGACAAATAGACAACCAGTAAAGTGACAGCTTACAAAGGAATGGCAGTGTTGCTCCAGGGTGATTGAGTGTGTCTCGGAGTTAAGCCAGAGAATGAGAAATGACAGAAAATCTTACTTTCTCGTGATACTCCCTGTCTGGTGGTCTTTCAATTTAATGCTCAGTTCATTTTGACCTAATGACTTTTATCCTGGCCTCAGGCAGGACATACCTCTGCAGAGGTGAACTATGGGCAGGAGGTCACTTATCACTTTGTATTTAGGTCTTCTTATATAACCACCTGTGTTCTAGCCAAACAGGAAGGGAGTCAATGATTTTAAATGCTTCCTCCCTGTTCAACTCTGTGCATGCATGCGTGTGAGCGCACATGCACACTAAGCGCACGCGGACATGGGTCGTGCACTATGTGAAAGGATGCGCCAACTATTTGAGTGTGTTTTCGGAGTGCATGCTTTTAGCCCTTGTATACATGTTTATGTATCCTGGTGCGTGTTCATCCTTGTCTCTGGGAGTCTAATCTTGAGGCTGGCTCCAGCTGGCTGCCGTGTGTGTGTGTGTGTGTGGGGGGGGGACTCCTGCCTGAGCTCTTAATTAACTCTGCACCAGGGCCCCAGTGTGCCGCTCCCATCCACTGCTTAGCAGGGGCAAGACGGAGAGCAGCAGTGATCCTGGTACGCAGTAAGGCAGAGCAAAGAAGATACAGGACAGTTTCACATACTAAACGTGATCTGGATAGGGCGTGATATTAATACATACGTAAGTAATATTTGTCTGGCTGTTACAATATGCATAGCTGTAGACATGGACTTAGATGCTTTTTTTATAATATCATATTTTAGTTTATTTTTTGTCATTTCAGAAACCTTAGAGGAAAGAAACTGATGCCAAAGTTTGTAGAAATGTATTGTACATTGCATAGTATGTATTTTGTACAGTATGAAAATACAGTGCAACATACCCTTTTTTTTTATCTATAAGGGGAAAAACTGCTTTTCATAATTAAAGAAACTGCAGTTGTTTTGTAAAATAAATTGCTAACAGAGAGGTCAATGCAACAGTGAAACAAGTGTGTGTACTAAAGCTAAGATTGCCACTGAGATTGATGCTTTAAGTCTATATTGAAAATACAATAAGGTTCATAAAACCATCACGGATTTTAAAGGGCATTGTTAAAGTCTCAGAAACTAACATTCTGTACAGTTATTGAAATATAAAGCATCTTGCACATACGCTGTTGATGTTTAAAGAAAGTGTTGTCTTATAGTGAAATGGTGACCACCTGTGTTAGCCTGGCTCTGATGCACAGCACTGCCAAGTATTAGTAGACGCCAAATGGCCTGTGACAGTTGGCGCCAAGTGTGGGTAGAAAGCATAAAGGTGTTTTGAAGGATAGCACAGTTGATCGAACGGCTGATGGCATGACACGAGTATTCAAAGCAAAAACAAGCCACGTAAGCTGTAGAAATTCTTTCCTTATCTCCTGTCTTTCCGCTTGGAAAATAGATGGAATTATCGATTCTTTCTATTTTCCAGTTGTTACTCAACGCGATTCCTCTGTGAGGAGGAGAAAGTACAAGAAGACAATTCAGCATCGTTTTGAAAGCAGCACATTGTTCGCGAGGGGTGTTTACTGTCTGTCAGCAGTGGTGCTTGGCAGCGGTGGCTCTGTGTTTACATAAGTGCTCAGTGTGATGGAGCGAGCTGGTTGAAGTGACAGCAGATTCCTCAGAGTTTGACTGAGGGAGCCCATCTGCTGCTGAACATGCATGAGGACGGGAGGTATGGGAGCATTCCAGGATCCCTGCAACTCCCTGTGTGTGCATACAGTAATAACTGGAGACAAGGCTGCCTTCAAACCTTTAAAGAATGTCTTCAGTCTGCGTTGAAAAATCGATGCTGACAAAATCACAGTCGCAATTTTTAATAAAATACAAAAACAATATTTGGGATGTTGGTCAGACATTTAAAACCATCAGTGATGATGTGAATGTGGAATCACTATTTATAGCATTATAAGCAGCATATACATGCATTAGCATAGACTACATTATAGTGCATTATAAGCATTTTATTATGTTTTCATATTATCCTATGTTCAAAAAAACAAAAACAAGCATTTTACTGTATTACATTATCCTAATAACCAAAATGTGAGATGACATCTGGTCTCACACCATGATTTTTAATATCATAACCATCATCCTGGTTTGTATGACAGAGGCAGAATGATTGGTTCATGTTCAGTGAACTATTCTGAAGACTCTAGAAAACAGACTATTAGCTAAACTACTGGTATTCTCACTTTTCCTGATTCAGAGACATTATGAAGGAAAACCAACACATAGATGCTGAAAATGTTGCTTTGCAGACGATATTTTTTAGGTCTAGAAAAGTGGATACATTACAGAGAGGACAACGAACATAGAAATATTTGAAAAATGTCAACATTGGATGATACATTTCATAGTTTTCAATATACTACATAGTCATTATCATCAATAGACTGTATTCTCCATAATCTTTTCATTCAAGTTATCATAGTTAGAATTTAGTTATCTTATTGTAGTTATATAATCTTTGTTAGTCAGTTGCTAGCCATAAAGGGACTATGGTGTATTATTATGTGGCCTTTTGAACATCAGCCAAAACTGTTGGACCTAGTCATAAAAGACTTTTGAAACAGACAATAGACCTTGTTCACAGAAGACATTTTGACATATCACAGATGTACAAATGATCAGATAAATAATGGCTGAATACCATTTAGTTGCTTCAGTTTCATGGTCCCGGAGCTGTGCATGCTGGCTCACTGTCACGCTGTCATGGTTTAGTGCAACGCTTGAATAATACAGAGCCATCATTATTGTTCGTTATAACACCTGTGTTTTTTTTCCACCGTGACAAGTCAAAATGTCTGCTGTGAAAACCGCCTATCGGTAGCAAATCTATACAGGCTACTACTACAACTAAAGGTCTCTGTGTGTTACCATGAAGGGTTGAAGTGTGGAACTGATTTGATGACCACACCGCCCTCCCCCTCCACATCACCTCATCATCAACGTAATCTGGAGAAAACTGGGCAATTTATTGCATTAATCACAATGGATTAGCAAATTTCATTGCTTAGTCACGCTCACAAGGCCCCCACTTCAAAGGCTCAGCTGCATTAGCCACTGCCCTGAGACACACACACACACACACACACACACACACACACACACACACACACACACACACACACACACAAAGCTGAACTTAGCACAACACCACCCCAACTTGGGCCTCAGCTCTCCTTGGATTTTGAAATATGGCACCAAGGACAAATGCACTCATTTTCTGTTTATCTGTGTCTCGCTCTTTCTTCCCCCCAAGTCCTCCTCTCTTACCGGACTAACACAGAGGACACTGTACTGTAAACACACAATAGTTAATTCTCATGCTGCCATCCCCTTAAGCATACTGCATGTACTTTCATGCTGATTATTTTTCATGACCTTCTTTGAAAAAGGTGCTGCAGTATTACTGCAACATTGTTTTACTTAGTTCAGTTTTGAGAATACACGTCTCCATCTAAGTTTTCCGACTAACACATTTAATTTTTTCATAGCAAACTTGGAAAGGGACCATTAATTCTTCTTTAATGCAACATGCAGAGGTCACTAAATAAATCTCTTTTTGGTTTTGCAGGCAGAACAAAAGGACAGAGGCTTGTCCACAAGCGAAGACTCTCTCCTGTGTTTCCACAACTCCAAAGCTGAGCCGTTGATCCGAGGCCGACCCCTCAGTGATATATACCCATTTCAGAGTCAGTGTGACAGAAGTGCAGTCCCTTATCTGCTGTCTGGGTGTGGCGCCCAAGTACAGCCAATGACTGCAGGTCCTCTCACTGATGAGAACAAACTGAACGGCATTAACTCCTCCGCTTGGTCCAACCCTGTTATAGGTCAACCTGAAGGAAAGCCTTACTCCTCAAGAATTATGAGGCTTTTTTCTAACTCGAGGAAGGGCCATGTCCCTGCTCATAGTCCAACCACTGACAGCCCCACCTCAGTCCACAGCAAAGACGGCAACAGTGGCCCCCAGTCCTGGTCGGGACTTTCAGGACTGGGTGTTGTGGACTCCTTCAAAAAGCTCCGCTCCTCCGTGCTGCAGGGAATTCAGAGTAAAGGGGCATCGAACCATGATGGAGAGCATGATCTTTCATCAAATCAGGAAATGGCTAATGGCACAGTTGTGGCAAAAGCTGACCCTGGTTTAGATGATGGAATGAATCATTTAAAGTCAGCAGAAGGATACAGTGTGTGTAATGGAAATTTTACTGGACAAAATTTGGCTTTTAACCGGTGTGGCTCAGATATTGACGACTATGACGATGAGGAAAATGATGAAGGAGACGGTCTCACGCGCAACTCACGATTCTCAAGGAGTATGAGGAGAGCATATGGAGCAGGACGCATTTCTTTACTTGACATGGGGAATGGGAGAGTTGCAGGAAGCAGCACAATGGGAGCTGCAGACAGTCAGAGACCAGGTCAGACATCCGAGGTCGGTGTCCAAGCAGAGAACATGAGCAACACAAATGTGAAGGTGCTGAGCAGAATGAGCAAAAGTGCAGAAAATCTTCATATATTTAAGGCACCATTCAGACGCAGAGCCCCATCTCCAGGTCCCCCTTCACCTCAGGAAGACCCACAGAGTATTACCACGTCAAACAGGACACCAAGCATCCAGAGAACAGCCAGCGCCTCCTCAGTGGACCTTCGAAGCCACGCTGTGAACCGCAGGAAGAGCCCTGTGAAGACCAAGGGCCCGATGCTGAAGCTAGTAGGGAGCATGACTGACCTAACTGTCCGACGCAGGAGAAGTCCCTCCCCCAGCCCTACATCTCCATCTCCCATGTCACCCCTGACTCGTCTCCACGACGACTACTCCCGCCGCGTACCTTGCCTACAGACCGGTGAACGACAGCGCCGGCCTTCGCCCGTCAGAGCCCGGGTCATGTCCGTCGAACACACACCGCTGGTTCATCATCAGCCTGAATACGACGGCGGCCCACAACAGCACCAGGTCCTTATCAGTTCGGTTTCCGTGGATCCCCCAGAGACAATAGACACTTCACCTGGTATCTCTGCTCATTATGAGTCGCAGGCCGTAGCCACAACAAGTGGTTATAAACGGATAGCAGCTTGCGATTCATCTCCACTCAGCCAAAAAGAGTCTTCACAACAACAAGAACAGACTGAGGTCAAGTCGCTACCAAGCAAGGTAAGGAAATGAGTTGGCAAACCCTTTGCATAAAGATGACAGGAGGCTGAAAAAATCCTGTTTTCTTGGCACATACAATATATAATTTTTTTTTTTTTTTAATTAGCAGTCAGTATTGCTCCACCTGTTCCTCCCTGAGCATTGGCTCAGGAGATATTCTGATACACCACCAAACAATATTGATGACATCAAGCTAGGTTTTTATCTTTATGCAACTGGCCTGTTCGATTACAGAGCTTTTCACTGCTTACAGATGCACTAGACGCACTGCAGCTAAAACAACCAATAGCACCCTTTATCAAAGCAAATAAAGGCACGTGATTAGAAATCATTAGGATGACAAGAGCTCTTTTTAAGTTTCAGTGAGGAAGGAAGCACTGAAAGACAGAGGAAGGATTTACTCTTTTATCCGCTAGAGCAGTGCAATCATTAATGGATGCCAGTCTTCCAGTCGAATGGCATTGACCCTTGTCTTAGGAAATGAAATGATTTTATGAAGTGATCTTTGAATCTGGCATGATTCTAACCCACTGCGATAAGGTCTCATGTCAACGTGATACTTGTCAGGTCGGTGTTCGTATGCTAAAAAATTGAGCTTGTGGTCCAAAGTCCCCGTTAATGTCAAATAAATAATGACATAGGCATAACGTTGCTTCACCCTGCTTTTCCTGTAAGTTGTGTTTGATATACTGACTTCTGCTGCAGCAGGGTCACATGCTGAAGCCAGCTGTTCTGTGCTACCAGGCACACTGAAGGAGCAGACAGAGTTAATGATTAGGCTTTGTTTATGATTAGCAGCCCTTGCGCAAAAGAGCTCCATAGTCCTGTTGCTGTGGGAGGGTGGGTGGCTGTGAGTAAGTACATCCCCCCGCCTTGCTTCTCTCCCCCCCCCCTCCCCTCTAGCTGCAGCCCAATGGATCAAAGTCCAGCACCATGGACACTGGGCCTGGGACAGCGAGCAGCACCACCAGGCAGTCAGGACTACAAACACAGTGTAATAGTGAATTTTTTTATTTTGGTCAGAGAAGCGAAGGACTTTGCCTTTGAAGATGAACAACAATAGTCAGATTTGTTTACTTTAGAAATCAGTTGGCTTTTATTGGCCTCCAAAAAGCTGAGGGACTTGGCCTTGAGGACTCAGGCCGATCGGTGTTTGTGTGTGTTTCACAATGGTGCTAGTCCACTGTGTGCCTTTCCAGTGTATATGCTGGGGACCAGACCCGGATCGAGAAAACCCAGAGGTGAGGTTTGATATCACTGGCTGACTAGCAGACTTATAACAACAATTTCTAAATGAGTAACCATTTGCCAATATTTGACCGTTGAGCACAAAATACTTGCTGACACACACGCAGTTTGATAACATTTAATTGTGGAATATTTGTGCAATTTCTGTTGCAGTTCTTTGTTTGAATTTGATAAGCATAAGCGGTCGATTGTGTTCAATATGTGGAGCCAATCACTGTGTGAACTTGAAAGCTGTCAAATGCTAATCAGGTTTCTCACGAGAATCCTGTTGAAGTTGAAGTTGAAGTTCTGAAATAGTTTCACACTCATTCTTGTGGTTCTGCCTCGAGATCCAACCAAAGCAGTCGTTCTACTTGGGACTTTTATGACTTGCAGCACTTTTTTTTGCTCTGTTTCTGATTAACAGATGTTCTTTCCAGCAAGACAATATGTTCTGCATCTCTATGCATTGCAGGTCATTGAACAGGGGAGTTTTGAACTTTTTCCTTTGATCCTTAGGTGACATCAGAACAAGAGCGAGAAGAACTTCTCCAAACAGATGAAGTCTCTCCAACAACCAGCAGCATCACACCTCCTATCTCCCCAACATGCCTCTCGGAATCACCCACATCGCCCACATCATCCACAAAGGCAGCCGCGAGTCCCACAGAAACATCCTCCGTCAAGCCCAGGCGAAGGGCCGGGCATCCGAGACCTCGGCCAATTTCTGACTACGGTCAGCTCATTTCCAGGAAGCACTCCATTCCCGAGGAAGTTGCTGAACTGCATGCCGAGGAAAGGACAGAAAACACATCACTGCATAAAGACTGCAGCGATAATGACACCTATGGGGATGGAGAGAGCCCTGAGAAGTTCAGCGTGAATGGGGACGTTCAGTGCAGGAGGTATCGGCCCATCTCAGTGATAGGAGTGGTGGATGTGTTCCCCCCTGATGCTGAGGAGAAAGATGACCGCCTTCCTTCTGTAAGCTGCTACAGTTATAGTTTAGACCCATTGGAAAAATACTGTATTTGAAAAAATGTGAATAGTTTAGTTAATTGTTGCCGTTGGCTGGAGGACTTTACCACGAAAACTTTCCACTAGTCCAGTGTTGAATTCTGCTCAGGCACAATGAAGGAATTCAAATAATTAAATTCCTGGTCATAAGTATGTTGGAACTGTGTTTTCCAATATATTAAAATACTGTAAATCTTTCACAATGTTAACATAGAAAACAGTTGTGTTTCAATAGTTTTTCACCGCAAAATAATAGCTGGAGATCAGATCAGTCTCGACTTATTTTCTCTGATTTTATACCTCAGATCAGTTTGTGTCAAAACTGTGCTGAAAACTTTTTGTAACACTTACAGATATAGAAAGTTAGTAGGAAAGTGCAGGGAAATGCAGTATATCTCCTGATCAACTATCTCTGTAAGCAAAACTAAAATTAAACAAAAGAGTGTGATACTTTTAAAAACAATATTTCCCTGCTTTTTAATGTTTAAACACAATTGTACCAAAACAATACATACGAAATTGTAAATACCTTAAGAAATTAAAAAAGAAAAAGAAAGGAAAAAAGAATGAGCACTATTAAACAGCACCAAAAGACAAGAAGTCATGGTGTTTCTACAGCTCATTCAACCATTAATCACAACATCAGGAAGCTTTTGTTGCAATTCTTCTTAATTTCCTGTCATATCTCTGCTATCTGTAACACAGGCTTAAAATAATCAACAGAGTACTTAGAAATAAACAAGAAGTGCTAAATAATTATTCAAGGTTTTGATCAAGTTTGATCAAGATCATGATCAAGAGGTCGCAGGCTGTTTTTCTGGGACATTGAGTCATCAGGCAGGTGGTGAAAGTCAGAGAAACTGAGCTCTTTCTAAATCCCAGCATGTTTCCGTTTGTCCTCTCTGCAGCCCTTGTCCCGGCCGCCCATCCCCTCCCATCAGGTGCCCCCCTACAGAGCAGTGTCTGCCAGGTTTCGCCCCTCAGCCCTCTCCCAGAGCACCCCCATCGGACTGGATCGCGTTGGACGACGAAGGCTCCACAGAGTGCTCAGTGGTGAGATCTGGGTTTGCTGTTATGTGACGAGGGAGCACAAATTTTTAGTCTGTGGGAAAACTGGAGTCTGGGAATGTCAAGACGTGTGTTGGAGGAAAATATTGGTAGAGAGCCAAGTGTGGGTGTGCTTGCATCTGTGGCTTGTTCTGTGGATTATTTAAATCTTGTCTTGAGTTTTCAGCTCCACATGTTTGTTTAACCTCTTTATATATGTTGCAGATGGTGTGTCTGACTGTTCGGCGACACTTGATGACAGCGTCAGCGAGGAGGAGGAGGGCAGCTTCGATGAGCTCGCTGATGTCACGCCCTACCTCCAGCCAGGGGTGGAGATCTCTGTGCTCAACGAGGTGAGGCTGAGGAGGGGTAACTCGCTTGTCACGTTGCGACACACGAAAACATCTTCTCCGAGACTGCGTATTGAATTCATGATGCAACGTCTATCTTTTTTTTTATGCGTGCCTCGTGAAAAGCCATGTGAAAATGTTTTTTCTGTGTGTGGTTTCAAGATGTTTGGCCACAGTTCAGCACAACAGACAACCTCTGCAGTGTCCACAAGTCTAGACATAATCTTACATGTTAGACATGGGCTTAGCCTGCATGTAATTGTATCTCTATCTTATCTGTGTGTGTGTGTGTGTGTGTGTGTGTGTGTGCTACATCCAGGATAAGCTCGGGCCACACGGTGTATGCTGAGGCTCTCTGGGACCATGTGACCATGGAGGAGCAGGAGCTGGCCTTCAAGGCCGGAGATGTTATCCGTGTCCTGGATGCCTCACACAAGGACTGGTGGTGGGGCAGGGGGGCTGACAGGGAGGCCTGGTTCCCCTCCTGCTTTGTGAGGGTAAGTGGACCACCTAAACAGCGTGTCTGATGCATGTTTGCTCTCCAGCAGCACAGAAAAGACTCGCAAACTGGCTTAGCTCCAAACAAACCTCACCAGCCCTCTTAAGAGTGTTTGTGTGGAAGGGTTCAAGCCTCAGATGTTCAGCTGGTTTCTGCGGTGACCAGAGCTGAGTGACAGCTGAGTCTTAATTAGGCAGGCTGCAGTAACCATGATGAGGTTATTTGATTGGCAGACGGGCGTCTGCTGTGTAATTGCTTGTAGCTGAATCAATGTTGCCGAACAGCAACTAGTTAAACTTACACATGCTGTTACCATAGTAATGTGCAGTAGAGTCTTTTGTAGTTTAAGTAGTTATAGGTCTCCCTTTTTGTAATTCTGTTCATTTTGACTTAAATTAATTAAATCACCAAAAACCATCAATGATCAAATATGTAGCATTTGTGTGATAATGTGGAGACTGGAAAAAAAAAAAAAATCCAGCTAAATCTGTTTGAAAACTAATCCTGACTTGAAGTTGACTTTTAGCAGACAAACTTATTTCTGTTTTCTTGATTTGACTGTTGCTCAGGAGGTCCCATTGTGTTTGTGGTGGATGTGTTTCAGGTGCGAGTGAACCAGGAAGACTCGAGTGCAGAGAGTGTGGAGAGTGTAGCGGACCAGGAGGATCCGACTCCCAGGGACACGCACAGCGCTCAGCACAAGGAGCAGATGAGAACCAATGTGGTTCAGGAAATCATGAATACCGAACGCATCTACATCAAGCACCTCAAAGACATCTGTGAGGTATGAGCCTCAACATTTAACTCTTGGGCTGCTGCTTCTGTCACAGAAAACGTATATAAAGGCATCTTATGCTAAGATGAAACTCCGCCGTCCAGCACTTCCTGTTTTTTGTTTTCACAACTTGTGTCAGTGTAACGTATATATTTTGGGTGTCTTTTCAGGGTTACATCCGCCAGTGCCGTAAACACCCGCAAATGTTTACTGAGCTGCAGCTGAAGACCATCTTCAGCAACATAGAGGACATCTACAAATTCCACAGGCAGTTTCTGAAAGACCTGGAGAAGAAGTACAACAAAGACCAACCGCATCTCAGTGAAATAGGCTCCTGTTTTCTCTTGCAGGTAACAACCACATGCAAAATCTTCCACAAATCACTGTGTAACTCATGTATTTACATGATTCAGCAGCTCTAAATTTTATTTTATTTTTTATTTATTTATTTTTACCCCTAGGGGGAGGGCTTCTCTATCTACTCAGAGTACTGTAACACCCATCCAGCGGCCTGTGCTGAGCTGCAGCGCCTCATGAAGTTGGGCCGATATAAACATTTCTTTGAGGCCTGCCGTCTCCTCCAGCAGATGATCGACATCTCCATTGCTGGTTTCTTGCTCACGCCCGTGCAGAAGATCTGTAAATACCCCCTGCAGCTGGGAGAACTGCTCAAGTACACCCCTAAGGACCACAGGTACTCCTCAGGAAGTGAAATCCATCACTTCACTACTTACTTTAAATCACTATTTGCTTTAATGCACCAGAGATAGTAAAAAAATTATTTCCAATTACCCCACGCTAACATGTATAAAATAATATACACCATATAGGTCATAAGCCATCTACAGTGTTAACATTGTTAATTGCTGTGGGATGCAACGATGTCTGTTGCTATGCATACATTCAACTCACTGCATTATATTTAGAACCATTTCATGTTAAATAAAGATCTCATGGCGGTTTTATTGCAGCAGGTTTATTATTACTTTTCTATGCTTACAATGGAAGCAGCCTGTTACTCTAAATGGAAGTGTCTCTTCTATCAATTTTATGTCTTTGCTGGGCCCTATGCTCACTTTCCTGTTGCTGATTTATTGCAGTGACTACGGCGGAGTGAGCAAAGCATATGAGGCTATGAAGAACGTGGCCAGTCTGATAAATGAGAGGAAAAGACGGCTAGAGAGTGTTGACGCCATCGCTCACTGGCAGGTTGCCATTCTGCACTGGGAGGTGATGATGACTACTGAATATAAATCCAGTTTTTATTCTGCTTATGAAACACAGTGAGTCTGTATGTTTTGCCAGTCGTATGCTTTATATCGTATAAATTGTTGTTGTAGGGACCTGATGTGCTGGAGCGCAGTTCAGAGCTGATCCACTCTGGCGAGCTGACTCGAATCGTCCGACAAGGCAAAATGCAGCAGCGCAGCTTCTTCCTATTTGACCACCAGTTGGTCTTCTGCAAAAAAGACGTCCTGCGCAGGGATCTGCTCCACTACCGGGGACGGCTGGATATGGACCAGACCGAGGTGGTGGACGTGCCCGATGGGCGGGACCCAGACCTGGGCCTGACCCTGAGGAACGCTCTGCGCTTGCGCCACGCCTCCACTCTGGAGTTAGTGTGTGTGCTGTGCTGCAGGAAGGCCCAGGACAAGCAGAGGTGGTTAGAGGCTTTTGCCAAAGAGAGACACAGAGTCAAGGAAGACCAAGAGATGGGTGAGTCGAGCCGGATTCCTTTCGCTCATGATACAAAACGGCTACTGTGGGTAGATGTCAAGTAAAAGGTGAAGAGGGTAAAAAGATTTTTGAAGAAGGGGGTGGTTGGAAATATTTTGACCTGAAGGTGTGTTTGTGTGTGTTTCTTGGCAGGAATGGAGATCAGTGAAGAGCAAAGAAAACAGGCTATTGTTAATGCCAGAAGAGGCAAACAGGGAAAGATCAAACGTAAGGAAAATATTTCTCTTAATTCTGTTAAAGTCACTCTTTATTTAATTTATTTTCTATTTAATTTACTCCTTGATCGTAATTCTGACTTTTCGTTTTGCCTGTTCACCTTTTAGCCATTGGTTACTCGGGTTCTGTCCCACCTCACCACCAAAACCTTCACCCACTTCACCAGCGTCACATCACCATTCCAACCCGTGTGCCTCAGCAGCAGGTCTTTTCACTGGCCGAGCCCCCAAAAAGAAAGCCTTATCACCTGTTGTACAGCATCACTCGCAACGCCTTTTTCAGGAAATGAGGCTTTGCTCCCTCATCCTTTTATTTTTTCCTCTGTGCATGATCCGAGCATGCCCAAACCGTCCGGAGGACTCAAAGAACACTTTATTTTTCTTCCTGTATTTTTCCTGTCTGTGAATGTACTATCAAGTTTTGTTTTTGTGCCTGATGTGTCTTTCTTTGTGTCTGTTTTTGTTGCTTGTTGAAGTCCAGTGCCTTCACTTCGTATGGGGCGTGACTAAAGTGTTAAAATACTGACTCTGTCCATTTTGTTGGTATGTTAAAGATGCTGCTCACTTAAGCTCATGAAACCCCACCCCCTTTGTGTTATTAATTCCAGCTGAAAGATTTTTTTGATTTTAATTATGACAACGATGTTTATTCTGCTTTTACATTGACAAACACAGTTTTCGGTTATTTCACAAAGGCTGGACCCTTTTTTTTTTCTTTTTTTTTTGCTGCGATTCCGTCACTTCTGAGCACCAAACAGCCAGAGGATAAACGAACTGACACCGTCATCTACCCTGTTAACAGTGTAAATAAAACTCTTGTACAAACATACAAAATGAGAATGTTTTCACTTTAAAATAGTTGTTTGCTTATGCAACTAGCCACTAGCAAGTATGTTTTCTGCCTGTTGAATATTAGCTCATGTGAATTTGATAAAAGTCAGCGATAGAAGTTAATGAATGAAACATTAGCCATAGAACTGGAGGAGGTACTTTGCCATCAGCGAGCTGCTTGTTTCTCCACCGCTCGCCTGTGCTGAAGGATCTGGTTTCACACACCTGTCAGCTGTGCGTCCGATCGGTGTGCTGTGTGGCTCTGCGCTTGTTTGTGTGTCTGCTGCTGTTTTTTCCTGAGGCAGTTTTCATCCTGAAGGAAAAAGAGACAATGGACCTGAAAAACCGGACATCGGGAATTAGATGATAGAGGCTTGATGGGGATGCCTGTGTCATGGGCACAGAGCGTGAGGAGAACGGGCAGCCGAGAGGAGGTGATGATGCATCTCAACAGGACGCTGCTAGTGTAAGTAAGATATGACCTTGACTTAATGTTGTTTTCCTTCTAGTTAGGTGACTAGAATTGTACAATCTTGACTCTAACTTGCATTTTGAGCAGTTAAAGGCTGTTTGTCTTGATTAAACCCTGAAGAATTCAGTGTAGAAAACAAGTTTCTTCACACATCACATTTCTTAAATCACATCTCTTGTCATGCTGCTTGATTAAATATGTGTAAAATGTTATTATTTTTCTCCTTTGGGAATCTAAACCCTGCTAACTTTTGATGGATTAAGTCCCACCTGCACAGTATGGGATGACACTGAATGAATAATATATGTGCATTGGGTAACTCAATGAGTGTTACATCTGATAGAGTTGGTATTGCTTTCAGGCATGCCCCTTCACAAGCTAAAGTGACCCGTAATGGAGCATCATTACCAGTAGACACATGCTTACATCACTGTTGGCCGATCAACACCAAAATGTGAGAGTTTGATTTAACTTTATGAACAGCGATGGTCTTCCAGTGCATGATGTGGCATGAAAACACTCACTCACCCAAGTCTCTTGGCATTTGGGATGGATTAGCGTAACGCTCGGCCTATCGTGATGTAAACTAGCTGACCTGGATGAGGCGCAGTGATGAGTAAAGACTGGTAGCAGCAGGGTTATGCCTTCTTGTTGTGTCTCCAGTAGTGTAAATCTACTCATGGTCTCCCAGCTCTGAATTGTGAGTGCTCTAATATGCTTGGTGAGGGATCTGCAATGTCAAGAAACACTTCCCTTTCATATTAGTTAAGCATCATTAACCACATCCTTATTAGAGTCAGGACATATTGAAGTGACTGCTTGAAAGGTCAAGTCATATTTACCGCTACGACAATGACACTTTGCATTAGAGTGTGAATGCCCCCCCCTCTCCCCCCCTCTCCCCTCCCCTCCCTTCCCCGGGTGTAGATCGCAGATGTGTCTGTGGAGGTTGCCACAGTGGACCACACTCTGCAGAAGCTGCGCAGGAAGTACAGGAAGACTAGACGGAAGCCCAAGGGACTGGAGAAGCTGTGGGCTCGTCTGTTGAACGTCCCACACCTTGCTATCATCATCGCAGCGGTGGTGTTTGTGGTGGTGGTTATCATATGGTCACTGCTGTGGGTCTTCATATGTAAGTGAACTACTTTACTCCCACAAACATGAATGAACCAGTATCTTTCCAATTACAATACTTATACTTCTACACTATTATGTGTTGTAGTACTTTTTTGTAACGAGTTCTTCTAATTTGATGAACCTAAGCTTATTATTAAAACTACACTACTTTGAAACTGCGCTGCATGATGAGAAAGTTTGACTTTACTTCCTTAGTTCGCCGTGAAAGCAACAGTGGAGCGTATTTTGCTGGGATGTTCCGTGTTGCCAACGTGGAGTTTATCCCCGAGTATCGCCAGGCTGAGTCCCATGAGTTCGTATCCATGGCAAACAAAATACAACATGTGGTATGTGTATCAGCGTAACCCTGTTATTTACATGACGGTTAGTGTTTAGCTATGGGAGTCTTAGTGTTAATTGCTGGTGTCTCGTAGGTGAGCAATGTGTACAAGATGTCCTCAGTGGCCAGACTCTACAAGCAAGCTGTCATTTCAGACCTCAGGTACAGTGGGACTGTTAGTCATCACCGTCACGAAGCAGAAAGAGGCCCAGCCGATATTTAAGATTTAGTTTGTTGCTCTTGACTCCAGTTTTAAGCATCGCCACTTATTTACAACCGAGCAACACGCCCTGCTTTTAAAGGTTTAATGTAAACTTGTGTCTCCCCCCCCATCCATCCAGTAACAACCATAAGGGCGGTGTGCTGGTACATTTCTGGATGGTGTTTGTAGTCCCCCGTCTAAAGAGCCCAGCAGTGTGTGAGGAGTGTGTAGGTGCCATTTTCAGAGACTCTGTCCACACAAGCCTGAAGAACAGGTCCTCTGTAGGATATCTACTGGGGCTTCCAGTCGATATAGACTCCATCCTCATCAATGGTGCGTCTCCATTTCTCTGCATGCATTCTGATTGTTTTTTTTTTTTAATCAATGTGGAGACTGATTGTCGTGTCCTCCTGCAGCTGTTCAGCGCTCAGATTACACGTCAAATGCAGCAGGTAAGCAAAAACACCTGATTTAGATGAATAAAAGTTCTGCTGTGCGTCTTGTCTACGTTGTATTTCCATGAGCTTTTCTTTGTCTCCCCTGCCAGGCTCGCAGTGTGTAGATAAGATGTATGCCAACCTTCCTGGGGCGAGGGTCCCTCTAAACGTCTTCTCATCGTGGGGTGGTGTGAGTTGCCATGTAAAGCTCACCGCTGCCCCCGGCTCTCTCATCCGTCTGACCGTCACCTCGTTCCTCATCGAGCCCAGCGACTGCGTGCATGATGCCCTGACTGTGTACGACGCTCTGCTGCCCATGAGAGGGCGCATTCTGCACAGGTGAGTGCGGGGCTCCCGCTGGCTTGTTTGTCCCTCCAACAATTACAGCTGCAAGAAGGGCAACAGGCTGCTTGCCATATTTCACTGTAGGTTCTGTGAAACATAAACTTTACACATACTGAAGTGCGTCTCTGTGCTGCAGGCTGTGTGAGAGAGTGTCCACCTCCTTCTCCCTTGTCTCTACGTCCAATGTCATGTTGCTGTCCTTCAGAATGACTAATGGCAACAAGACCTTCAGAGGACACTTTGAGGCCATCGCTGAGGACAGTACGACACATTTACCTTATAATTTATATGCCAGTGGTTCCCAAACTTTTTTTTTAACCCATGTCCATTTATAATGAAGCAATATCTAGGTGTGATTCTTTGTCACAGATTTAATATGTCTATGAGTTGTGGGCAGTTGGATCAAAGAGATTATTCCCTTCTTAAATGTTTTAGAATTAGATTTTTTTTTTTTAAAGCTCCGGAGGGATAAAATGATTTATAGGAATGAGGTGAAAAGTCAGAAAAAAAATCATTTTTTGTTTCATTTATCATCTTCTGACCCCCTTAGACTTATCTCGCAGCTTCTTCTTAGTGTCCACCTGATTGGGAACCACTGTTATATGTAACAGTGCTGTGTGACATATAGTATTGACTGGGGGGTGTAAGTATAATCCTTAAGTCTGCTTCTGTCTCTCAGTGTGTATGTCTCAAATTGAGACACAGTTAGACGTGACTGGTCACATCTACAGCCCCTTCCACCCCAGCCTTCTGCCCCCTCAGTGCTCCTGCACCTGGAGGTTTGAGGTAGAGCACACACGCACACACACACACGCTGATATTCTAAATGGTGACTTAAATATCTTTTATTGATTATGTTTTGTGTTTGTATTTTATTCTAGACCTCTAATAGTGCTTTAGGAGTTGCTCTGCAGTTTCAGAACTATGTACTGAAACCAAAGGACATGAAGGGCTGTGACCACGGCTGGTGGAAGGTTAATGAAATCATGTATGTGTGTACAGCTACATGCATATAGGTTTCAAAATTTACACTGAACTATTTCATGTTATTTCAAACATTTTTACAAATAACAATAGATAATGTCTCCCTAAGCTAAAAAAAAAAAAATCATCTGAACAAATGGAGTAATTAAGTTGTTTTTACATTGTATTCATTTGTGTATGTACTTATTCATCCCACAACAACATCCTGTGATGGTTGCGTGATGGTTGCTTTCCCCTCCCAGTTTCTGTGGCAGTTACGTGGGACACCGCACGGTGTTTCGGATCGCTGATCACAGCCCAGAGGTGGAGTTTCGCTGCAGCTCACGTAACTCTGCTCAGCCGTTTCAGGCGTCCTATACCAGCTACAATATCAGCCAACGTAAGCACTGCAGGACCAGAGCATGACTCACTATGCTATGCAGCGTAGGAAATGACTGATCACAGGTGTTTCATTGTGTGGATGTGAGTTAATGACTTTGTTTTTCTAGCAGTTGAAAGATACTTTCTTTACAGACACAAACTGAGCAGTGTCATTCTCTGTGCAGTCTACTCGTGCAGTTTGAAACAGTATCACCATAGAGGCCTCTAGTGGCGCCGGTCCGTCGGTTAATAGAGTAGAAATGAAGCAGGAAAAAGTCTTATATTTATGCATATTCATAATGTTTTAATTTAAAGGATTTAGTTAAATTTCTCTTCTTGTGTTTTTGCAGCCTGTCCGGAGAACAACTTCCTGTGCTCCACAGGACTGTGTGTGGAGAAGAGCCGACGCTGTGACGGCCTGGATGACTGCCAGGATGAGAGTGACGAGGTCTTCTGCTGTATGTAGTCCCACAAGTGACATTATTGTGGTTGCTTATACATTTTGATTACTTTTGTCTGTGTCCCTGCTTTTTTTTTATTTTTTTTTTTTTTAAATGACACTGTGAGGTGCTGGCAACGCATTACAATGTAGTAAAAGTCTGTCATTAGTTTTACTTGAGCGATCAGTCATGTGTTGCAATACTGCATATCTTGGCAGCGAGGCCTACAATGAACTGTGGTGGCAACAGTCCTCTGCATCCTCTGTTTGTGTGCAACGGAGAGACAGACTGCACTGATGGAGCAGACGAGATCAACTGCACTCAGGGTGTGGATTTTTACAGTTTGTTCCAAATGGTAATGTGTGTGTGTGTGTGTGTGTGTGTGTGTGTTTTCACCCTTTCACCCTTTAACTGCTACTAAGAGCAACACGTTCTCCGTTTTTGTCAGAAACAACCTGTTCTGCAATCAGGTACCAGTGCAGCAGTGGCTCTTGCATCCTGAAGAAGAACGCTAAATGCGATGGTGTTCATGACTGTCAGGACCACAGTGATGAGGCAGACTGTGGTGAGTGTTCTGCATCACCTGCTCCGTGTGTATGTCTTGAAGTTACTGTGGAAAAAATTACATTACATTACATTTTGAAGAAATTCACCTCCACCGTTCCCCCTGTTGTAAAACTTGCGACGTTTATAAGAGTCTGCTGTAACCGCTGTATATACTGTAGCGTGTTGCAAAACCTGTTCCCTTTTCTTAATAGACTAAAGTTCAAACTCAAATTTCTGCTCGAACATCCTTAATGTTTTAAAAAATTACTTGACTTAAACTAAACCATGATCACGCACATTTGGTAATTCCCACCTGCGATATCTGCTCTTAATCATGCATTTGGCACATAGTGATTATGCTGCCACTGCACTGCCAGAGCCCTCATGTGGATCCATGAGAAAGTTGTTGTTATTTTATAATCCACTGGGCAGTGAGCTCCAAACCTGCTGACCTGCAGCACTGAGGTGACCCTGCTGTAATAGCCCTCTCTCTGTTTGCTGTTATTTTATCATGATGTGGAGTCAAGGTGATGGGAACAAGCCTGTCTTTGATCACTCACTGAAACTGGGCACACATGCACGCATATGTGTGTGTGTGTGTGTGTGTGTGTGCACACGAAAGGGCAAACATCAAAGCTCTACTTTTTAATAAGGTGGCAGCGGGACCCGTCTGTCGTGGTGATGACTCGGCGTAGTGTAGGTGTACAAACACACTCATTCTGGATACTCACACTGTGAATATATAAAACCCTAATAGGTCTGTAAACTACACTTAATAATAGTAGTAACATGTATTGTTTATATCTCTCACTGAGGTACACTTTGTCTTGAGATGCATTATGATGATATATATAATATACTGCACATCCAGCAAAACCAGCAGGGAAATTTTGTACATGCACACACACACAAGCTGTATACACTTTTACATTCAAACCAAAAAACATATAACCAGTATAACCACAAAATCCATCACTATGTGCTCCTAAGCCTGTGGTCGTCCCTCCCTGGTGAAGAAGGTGGTTTCATCCACGGGCCCTGAACGCATCGTGGGTGGAGATAACTCTGTGGAAGGGGAGTGGCCGTGGCAGGTCAGCCTCCACTTCTCTGGTAACCTGTACTGTGGTGCCTCTGTCCTCTCCTCTAATTGGCTCATCTCAGCAGCACACTGCTTCAGCAAGCAAAGGTCAGTGACCCTCACTGCTGATCAACAACATTCGGTGTTAGTTAGATACTCACTGTAATGACTAATGTATGTAAGAGCCACAGATTTATTATACCGGTCAGCGGTGGTGTCCCAAAGCGTTCCCAAAAGATGAATGACATAATCACTTTTAGGTGTATAGTGCAGATTTATATCTGATAATTTAATAATAGAATAGTGATAAAGTTATAACTTCTAGAATAAGGAAAATATAATTAGTTATTATATTATTACTCATTAAAGTTTGTACCTCACATGTATTTAATATAATAATCCGTAGTAATGGTGTCTTTCATCATCTGCTGATTGGTCTTTATCACATTCCAACCCATTGGTAGTTTAATGACAAGTTATTGCTTGAGGGACTGCAGATGAAAATGAGCTTTTGCTATATCTGGTGCAGTGAATGTTTTGTGCACAGTCGCTGTTAAAAAAACAATAATACAACAACAATAGTTACAAGTCTTCACCATATTGATTCTGTGAACTAACCAGCTGCTTACTGAACACATTAACCTGTCTTTCATCAAGTTTTTTTAGATCGGTATAATTTACAAAATGTCCCACTTCAGTGTCTTTGACCTTTGACCTCTGACTCTGCAGGCTGTCTGACCCCCGTTACTGGAGCGCTCATCTCGGCATGCTGACGCAGGGCAGTGCCAAACACGTGGCGGAGATCCAGCGGATTGTGGTGCACGAGTATTATAACGCGTACACGTTTGACTACGACATCGCCCTGCTGCAGCTCAAGAAGCCCTGGCCTTCTTCCCTCGGCCCTCTGGTCCAGCCTGTGTGCCTGCCACCCACCTCCCACACCGTCACCGACAGCCACCGCTGCTGGGTCACCGGGTGGGGATACCGCTCCGAAGAGGGTGAGCAGTGAACAGAACTTGTTGTAGGCTGACATAGACCTCTCTTGACACCTGTACTTTTTATGAGCTTCCATCAGCTGCAGATTCATGTCCATGTCTTACCCCCCCCCCCCCCCTGCAGACAAGGTGCTGCCCACAGTCCTTCAGAAAGCAGAGGTTTCCATACTGAGTCAGACCGAGTGTAAGAGGAGCTACGGCCCTGTCTCACCGCGCATGCTGTGTGCCGGTGTCCCCTCTGGAGAGAGGGACGCCTGTAGGGTGAGCTCCCATCTGACTCAGTCACCTGTATTTTCATTCATACTAGTGTGTGAAACATTAAGAAGCACAAGAATTAATTAAAGAGGTATTCTTTCTTCATTAACTGTACCATTTGTATTTCAGGGGGATTCGGGGGGGCCTCTGTCCTGTCAGGCACCAGGTGGGGGTCGCTGGTTCCTGATTGGCATCGTCAGCTGGGGGGCGGGATGTGGCAGACCAAACCTGCCTGGTGTCTACACCAGGGTCAACAAGTTCACCTCCTGGATCTACAGCCATATCAGCTGACACGACGCAGCTCATCCTCCACTGGCAGCAGGTGTTCTGAAATATTCTGTCGCTCACACCAAATAAATAAAAGCATCTTCAGACAGAGAGGACTGTGTGTGTTTTTTGTCTTCACGTGAACATTATCTGCCTTTTGGTGATGCTGCAAGGTGCTGTACAAATACCCCCATTGAAGCAAAGAAGAGACTGTTAAGAGCCTTTAAGCATTTTTATCCTCTCCAGGTATTTCTGCTCCACTCCCTGTTCACAGCACTGACACTGCGCCCATATTAAATTCTGTGACAGTCCAATAATGTCCAAGTTTGATGCCAGATTTGTAATTGCAGGTTCTGTCTTGCTTTGCGCCCCTGTGGAGCATCCAAGGGCGCAGCAGCTCAGATTGTAAAACCTCACACACGTTTCCCCTCAAACACTCTTTTGTCCCTCCGAGCTTAACTCCTGCGTACACGGCGAGAAAGTTTGCCCACAATATCTGTGGCACGGATGGTTGTGCGGATTGTTCCCTTTCATAGTGGTCCCATTGTCCCCGCACTGCATTCTGGGGCTCCGTGTGACACCTGCCGCCCAGTTCAGGTAAACGGGAGGCGGTGAATGCCCGCCGCATCCGAGCCGCTCAGGTCGGATTTCTGCGCCTTTTTTTTTTTTTTTTTCTTCTTCTTCTTTCTTTTGGTGCAAAGGAAGCGACAGCGGGGGTTTCCTCTCTCTCTCCATCGTTTTCTATGCCTGAGGTATTGTTGCATATCGCCTCTCCGGAGCTGAACGGGACAGTGCTATGAGGACTCTCCCCAAAAGCAAAACTTGCGAAGTGTACTCCGTCTCTGGGCATGAACACTCAGGCCGCTCCGCTGCACAGGTAAGCCATCACTTTGCTCTTTTCCTCGTGCGTGTAAAAGACGATGCCAAACCGGACTTTGCTTTCTGCAAGAACGATTTTCTCAAATTATCCTGGCTGCATCAAAAAAAAAAAAAAAAAAGGTTCTTTAATTAACTTTTAGAACTTTTTTTTTTCTTTTTCTTACAACACCAGAGGCATGCTTCATAATCAGTGCCCATCAAACCTGGGCATCCATGGTTCATCTTGATAGCGAAATCCGTCTCTAGGGATTTGGGTGTCCGGTTCTCATGAATGTCCATGCCACTTGATTGAGTGCTGACACCGCAGAGCCAGGCCGTGGGAAAGCAGACCCCTGCAGCCACGCTTTGTCTGCTCCCCCGGGGAATCCTGCCAGCCCCTTAAATGTTTTAGGAGATCCTTTCAGCTCAAAGATGTCCACCGTTGCTTTCAGTAAATCAATGTCTGCCCAGTCATAAAATCTATGGCTCATTGATTGAGGCATACAGGCTGCGTTTTCTTTACAGCTCCTCTGTGTGTCACATAGAAATAAAATCCAAACAATTAGAAGCAACTTGAGCACAGACATAAAAAAAAAAAAGCCGGTATGATATTTGAGTCATGTTCTTGTCTCTGGAAGGGAGAGGGGGAGTTAAAGGAGCCCACCCAGTCGCTGAGCCCCCCCACGAAGCCTGAGGATCAAGCAGAGCAGAGGGCAGAAGGGGGGAAAGCTCCGGCCTGTGGCTCCTGGAGGAGGTGGATGTTAGGTCTCCTGCCTTTCTTCCCCTGCACTGCCGCCATTGCACTGACCCTCCACTACTTAACATGTGAGTACAGACCTGCTTTGGTGTTTTAGATTTCTCTCCGACCTCTCCCGTCCTTAAAAATGTGTTTATTTTGACTTGCACCCAGAGTCATCTACAGTGCACCTGTCTCAAATCTCTTCCTCCTCCTCCTCCTCCTCCTCTCCAGCTCCGCCCTCCTCGGTGTTCTTCCTCGGAGGCAGCGTGGAGTTCCCAAACCTGAGCTTCTCCTCAGAGCTGACTGACTCCACCTCCCCACAGTTCCGCCTGCAGGCTCAGGCTTTGAACCATTATGTGAGTGGAACGTTGGACTTGTCAGTCACTGCCTCCCCTCTGAATGACACTTTTTGGTGTTTGACCTTCCCCATCTGGGCCGAAGCTGATCTTGCTGCTCTAACATTGATATGGTTTACTACAGCAGGCCGCTAGTGCCTTTTACGCTGTGCTTTCAAAACACTGCTGCCATCTTTCTAGTTCCCATTCTCCCCTCCCGCGGTTTGTCTTTGCATTCTTATTCATATGCTTTTCACCTTTTCTACTTTGTCCTCTATCTCCCTCCCTGTCCCTCGCCCTGTCTCTCTCTGGTGGTGTTAAATGTAAAGCTGAAACAGGAGCCGGAGCACAGTGTGTGCGCAAGTTCCCGAGACCCCCAGGGACAGGGCCCTTTCAGGGCTGAGGACAAGCCCGGCGTTTGTGAGCCCAGCTAGGCCCAGGCAGCAAGAGTGAGAGGAAGAGCAGGCATTCAATAAAAACATTGTCTGTGCAGCTTTCACACAATCAGCCACTCTGTGCGCTGTACACTACAAAGAGCAGGAGAACCTCGGTTTGACGCAGGGGTTGAGAGGGAAAGACAGGGCAGTAGGGCAGGCTGGGATGACAGAAGGATTGGGAGTTGGACAGAGATATGAGAAGGGGAATTTGGATTTTGAGAGCAAAATGTCAGACGCACGGCTGCACATTCTTGCTCGGCAAGTTGGGAATTGATGAATTGAAAGGTGGAAATTCCCAAAAGTCTGCAGCGACATCCAGTAATGTCCCTGTAATCAGCTTTGAGGGTGAGTTCGCAGGCTTGTTAAGTGGTCATAGTATCTGTGCAGCGATCTGTTCATTAAAGAACAGGTGAACTCGAGGCCAGCCCATACCACCCATGGTCTTAGCTGCACACAGCCGGCAGGTAGAAACACAATGGAGCTCTGTGCTGCTCAAAGTCAACATACACACATGCAGAGTCTGATACACACACACAGACACACAAGAACAATGCGTTTGTTGAACTCAGGCTGCACGTTCAACCAGGTGTGTTCATGTGTCGCTTACACGGGAACAGTGACCTCACTTGCACCGCTGTGATGTCACAGCTACAGCACTGTAGTGTGTACAGTGTGGGGGTTAATGTTTTTTTCGTTTTCTGTCTTTTTCTTTTTGTTTTTTTTTTTGAAAACAGTTCTCAGAACTCTACGAGTGTTCTCCGTGGAGCTCCTACTACCTGCGCTCAGGAATTACTGCCTTCAGGTATCCTGCACCAAAACAAAACCCACTGATAAACTGCAATGTGCAAGAATTTCTGAATATAAAGAATATGCATGACAATAATATTACTCAGCTGTATGTCCCCTGCTGTCAGCTTCAGCAACATTGAAAACCCTTTGTGTGACAGTGAAGGAGCAGAAGGGCTCAATGTCTTCTACTGGAGTAAATTCTCCGCCCCGGACGATGTTGCCATGGCGATCCGGTCGTCCAGCCCGGAGAGGCTGCAGCGCAGGCTTCCCGGCAGCCACAAGGTGCAGCGGGACAGCCGCAACGAGCAGCGCTACTACATGGAGCGAGATGACGACATGCTCCACCTACTGGGTAGAGGCTCTCACTGTTGTCTGCATGCACGTTAACCACACACATACAGTATGTACAGGGCCTACATGGGATTTTTTTTATGTATCTGTCTAAAACTTCTCCAGTCTCTGCAATATGTAGATATTAGCTATACGGTAACTCTACAAATGCTTCACACACCACACATTTCAAATAGACACACTTGATTTAGAAACTAGTCATTAACATCATCATTGTAAAGGCTTTATAATGATTTCACTCGTGTTTTATTAACAAATTTATAGTACTTATATTTCAGTTTTATTTCGTATATTATTGCTCTAGAGTTTTACTAATAGTATTTTGACATCTGGTGTGTGTGTGTGTGTGTGTCTGTAGGTTTGGACCCCGACGACTTTGAATCAGAAGAAAAATTGGACAAGATTAAGAATCCAAATAGCATCCAGAGTGGGAAGTGGCAGCTTGGCTTCCAAGGTGAGGGCAGCACACATCTGGTGTTGATGCTAAAAAAAAATCTTTTTGTGTTGAACTCAAGCAGAACCAATACTGCCGACTGATGCCTGTATTGCTGCTTTTGGATTGCCCATGTAGTGAAACACTTGTTGTCGCATTTGTTATTTGCTTTTGATTACAGTAGAGTACATTGTAAGGTTGTGTGGTTGGTTGACTTCATGGATGACAAATTAAAGGAAAAGCATGTATAAATGAGTGGGGAAACATGTCAAATGTGTGTGCCTCTATACTGGGCATGAGAGGTCACTGAATGGATTTATGTGTACGTAACTGATGTGAATCATAAGCTGTGGCGTTCGTACTCAACTTGACAAACATCTATGGGAGATTCCGGACCAGCATATTAGGATTAACACAGACAGTATGACTTAAGGTAAATATTACCATTACTTTCTCCGTGTAGCAATGTCCTTTGACCTCTACGCCAAATATGGCAACAACCGCACCCTGAGCCTCGTGAGTCCCAAGAAGCCGTACTACCAGTGGCGTCTGCGCGTGCCGTCGGGTCACGTAGTTCGACTAGTTATCCTCACCCTGCATGGTGCCACGCCAGGAAGCTGCACTGCCCACAAGCTCTCAGCCTACGACTTCCTGCTTCCTTTACAGAACAAGATCATTGCCAGGTAAAGACATTTAACTGAGTTCCTCTGGGGAGATCAGAGGTCAACACTGTTTCTTACAGAACTGTGTCAGTGCAAAAATATTTGTATATAATTTGATGTATATATTTTTTTGATATAATGGCTATACTTGATGCATGCGTCTATCTCAGGTGGTGTGGGCTGCCTGTCTCGGGTTCGTCTCCAGTCATGAAGCTGACATCCTCTGGGAATGTCATGTTAGTCACCTTCTCCTTCAGCAGACAGAGGGATGGAGCAATCTTCAAAGCGTACTTCCAGGCCATCCCGAAAGCAGGTAGTGGAGTATTCTCACAAACAGACAAACCCGTATATCGTACCGTCTCATTTTCTGCTAATCTTGTCTGATGTGTTCATGTCGCTGCCTTCATGCTGGAATGATCTATTTGCAATGCTCAACATATGCAGAGCAAAGTTACCTTGGTGTTATTGTGTATTCTGTGCTCTTACCTATGTCACCATCTCCCCCTACAGGTTGTGGAGGGTCAATTTCCTCTTGGAACGGCTCCATTTCCTCACCCTACTACCCTTCCTATTACCCTCCAAATATAGACTGCACCTGGACACTGCGGGTGAGCCACATGTGTGTATGTACGTACATGTGCTTGCGTGTGTGTGTATGTGTGCGTTCGTTCGTGCGTGCGTGTGCGTGTGCGTGCATGTGCTAGAAACAGTGAAAAACAAAGGAAAAGTGGACAGTAAAAATGAAAGAGTGAATCATCCCTCTGTTACTTAGCCTGTCCTCACTCCGACATTCGTTAGTCATCCGTGGTTTCTTTATCAGGCGCCGTTGCCAGGATACCTGATCTCCATGACGATCGTGACGATGGACATTCAGGATTCCCCGTCATCAGACGGCTGTGAGAAAGACTGGCTGGACATTGGAGGGGTCAAGTGAGTCATGAAACTGAACTGTGTTGCAATCAAGGTGCACACAGGCAAGGGTTAGGATTAGCACGTCATCCAAATCAGTCGATTTAATAATATTCCTTCAATCACTCTGAGCACCAGTGTATTTTATCACATAATTGTTTAAGACATTTTAATATTTTCCAATTCCTTTCTTTTGTGCTTCTCTGTATCTAGACTATGTAACCCGGTATCAGACAGCAGCAAAAAGCGAGTGTACTCCTCTCCTCTCTCCCTCCACTTCCACTCCGATGAATCTCTCACTCACAAGGGCTTCTACTTGCTCTACCGAGCCTTCTCTCCAGAGGGCAGTAAGTAATATCTGATGCTTTCACCTCATCGTAGCGATTTTGCAAGTGCAGTGTAAGGTTTTTTCAATTCAACACCTAAACAATCTAAATTAAGCTCCTTGCTTCCTCCCGTGCTTTCCTTGCTCCTCCTTTCCTCTCCAGCGTGTCCTCGCCAGTTTCGCTGTGGGGATGGGCGCTGCATCCCTCTGAGGAAGGTGTGTGATGGAGTGAAAGACTGCTCAGATGGACGAGACGAGGCTAAATGCTGTAAGTGTTGTTGCCTAAGCGCTGCACACTTGTCCCACCATGTCTTCTATTCTTAAAATTGAGTGATCTTTAGTTTATATATAATTTTTCGGCCTAACAAGATGTTGAAAAGTTGTTTGCCTGTCTCCTTTATTTCTGAAAGTGTCAAACTTTACTATTACTTTGATTTTAAGGACATAAACCTTGTGCTAGACTCAGATTTGCTTGTGTTTTTGTGTTTCAATGTGCATGTTTGCACATATGTGTAAAACATGTAGCATCCTGCAGGCCAGGGGAAGTGTTGTGTGGTAACGGCCAGTGTAAGCCTCAAAGCAGCCAGTGTGTCAGTCAGAGCACCTGTGCAGACAGCAGTGAGGAGGGCACCTGTGGTGAGCAGAGACACTAATGCTGATGTAACACATACATATGCTGTACTGTGTTTGAAAAGCTCATTTTAAGGGGGTTCGTTCTGTTTCCTCCTGCCAGGAGGTAAATGTTATCACGTGTGTCCCAACAAGGTGTGTTTGCCAAAGTCTTCAGTGTGTGATGGTGTTACTGACTGCAAAGACCGTAGTGATGAACTCAACTGTACCAGAGCGTGTGAGTAGTCATGACATCAGTTACTGGTTTCACTCACTGATAGAAAAGACAATATGCTGTATTTTTATATTTCGAGTGACCTTTAGTTCTTTTTGGCTAAGTTTGTATTTCATTCTCTTTAGATCTGAAAGGCTGTTCCTCGTCCTCATATAAATGTGCCAATGGAAAGTGTGTTAGTAAGGTCAACCCTGAGTGTGATGGAACAAAAGACTGTTTTGACGGCTCTGATGAGCTGCGCTGTGGTAAGCACTCACTCACAAACTCAGCCTCAGACTGCCTCAGCTACTTGTGCAAAAGATGGAGTAACATCATGGGTTCTCATGCCGTTTTTTTGTTTTTTTTGTTTGGCTCCCTGTCCGTCTCTTCCTCCCAGGCTGTGGCACCAGGCCCAGAAAACGTACTAAGATAGTGGGAGGCTCTGATGCAGGAGCTGGGTCGTGGCCATGGCAGGTCAGCCTCCAGATGGATCGCTATGGCCACGTCTGTGGAGCCACCCTGGTCTCCAACCGCTGGCTCATCTCTGCAGCTCACTGCTTCCAGGACTCAGATGCCATTAAGTAAGAAAGATTCCTGAAAGCCTCATCATGATAGTCATGTATATGTACTCTTCACGCATAGTGTGTCTGCAGATACTCAGACGCTCGTGCATGGCGGGCCTACGTAGGAATGCGTGTGATGACTATGGGGAACAACGGCGCAGCCACCAGACCGATCCGACGGATCCTCCTCCACCCACAGTATGACCAGTTCACCTCTGACTATGACATCGCCCTTCTCGAGCTCAGCGCTCCTGTCTTCTTCAATGACTTGGTGCAGCCTGTGTGTGTCCCCGCCTCGTCACACACCTTCACCACAGGGACCAGCTGCTATGTCACAGGCTGGGGGGTCCTGATGGAGGACGGTAAGAGCTGGTCAAAACTATTTAATCAAACTGAAGAGTTAGATCACAAAAAGTATGGTCTTCATTTAACTTTCTTGTAAAGCAGGGCCTTGATAAAATTTGGGAAGCTGGAAAGTAATTTTGAGGCAGCTACAATATAGAGAAGCGACTGTTTTCATTTTGTGTGTTTGTGTTGATTATAGGTGAGCTGGCCTCTCGCTTACAAGAGGCCTCAGTGAAGATCATCAACAGGAACACTTGTAACAAACTATATGATGATGCCGTCACTCCCAGGATGCTGTGCGCTGGGAACTTGCAGGGAGGGGTGGACGCCTGCCAGGTGAGTGTGTGCATTAGTACTGTTAACACTCATTCACTCATCATTGTTGTGTGATAACATGTTGTTCGTCATAACATTTCCCAGATCTTCTGTCTAAACCACAAAAGAGAATGTGAGCATTAAGAAAAAAAAATGTATCTCAATTTTCCCTGGCTTACCTCCTCATGTGAAGGCACCGCTATGCAGAAAACTAAACACATTTCCAATAAAGGCTGAGGAGAGGTGTTGGCTTTTGAGGCTTTTACTGGAAACAGTTGTGAAACTGAGTGTTGGACAACAAATCACCAGGTAGTGGTTACATAACAGATAAGAATGAGATTTCATACACAACAGTTAAACCAAAAGTATTATATGAATGTGGGAATGAATTAGTGCAGTACAGGTAACCTGGATTCACTGAAGTATAGACTAGTTAGCTGCCAGATTAGTTAGCTAACAACATCGTCCCTCATGCCAGGAAGAAACAAAGTATCACGAGTGAAAGATCTACAATAAGTCCTCAAAGAAAGTAAGTAATTAATCTAGTAAACATACACACTGAGTTAACAAGAGTAAGAGTAACTGACAGTTAGCCCAACAGTAGCTAAATTAACTAACAGCAACTTAAAATGTTGTATTAGCAACACATTAGCCTCAGACAGCTAGCATAATGGCTAGCTTGGTTAGCAGTTAGCTAATTATCAAATCACAATCACTAAACAGCTTGGCCTATATTAAAAAAGACACCTACACATAATGCCCCAACAAGGGCATATGGGGAGTAGATAAAAAAATGCCAATATTTGCTTTGTTTCAGATCAGACAAAATGGCAGATGGTGGTGTCAGTAGCAACCGAAGGTTCGATTTGAAATCATTTCCTATTCATTAGCCTATTTACTATCAAAGATTTTATGTGTGTCCAAATTTACAGTGTGTAAATGTATGCACTGTTATAGTGCCCTAAAAATTGAAACAGTGGCTCGTGGCTCTACAGCTGTCAGCGATGACTCAAAATAATGCTGATTAGAAAGTGTCTGAAATCTCAATTCACTGATTGAGTAAACTGTTGAGTGTCCATTATTGTGGGTGTAGTGAATGAGTGAGCATGGGGGTGATTTGTACACAGCCAACTGCTCGTGACTGGATATTACAACACTCGAGTGGCTCATGATTTCTGTCCCTGGATTTCTTTCCATATGACTTGAACTTTCTGAAATGAAACCTCACTTCAGCTGCTCCGGTAATATTTTGACATCATGTGCTCTAAATTTGGCAAATAATCCACACACTCAATTTGTTAAAAATGGATCAGACAATATACTGCATGTATTGATCTTTTTTGTTTGACTATTATCTGTATGTGTGTGTGCTTGTGTGTGGCCTTAGGGTGACTCAGGAGGTCCGTTGGTGTGTCTAGAGCGTGGTAGACGGTGGTTCCTGGCGGGGATCGTGAGCTGGGGTGAAGGCTGCGCGAGGCAGAACCGTCCCGGCGTCTACACACAGGTGGTCAAGTTCACTGACTGGATCCATCAGCAGACTAAAGGACAGGTGTGACTGAACACCAGACTGCCACGAGCAAAACGACAGACTTAACACACAGGACGAAGGCTTCAGATGTGGAGTCATCTCCAGACTGCTGTCATGACAACACATTCACTCAGTTTTTGAGAGCATGTTCATGGCAAACACGCCAGTGGGGGCATCATCCCGGCTAAAACCAACCAGCTTCCGTACAGTCTCTGCTAGCTCAGACCTGGTCTCAAACAGTGGCTATGTTGACGTGCACAAAAACTTCAGCACTTAACCTGAATATTACTTGGTTCTGGTTCACTGCACATAAATGTTAGAATTTGCTTGGAGTGCATTACTTAGATGACAAGATTTATGATGAAATACTCCAAAATAAGGTTCTATGCTGTAAAAACACACTCTGCACACATGTAGACTGAACTGTGGGTCAGTATTTATTTTTATCAGAAAAAATATTGGTAAATGCTACTTACAAATCTTACGATCCAAATTTTCCTCCTCTTCATTAGATGAAACCTGGCACTCATCTTATGTCTATAGTTTTCAAAAGAAAATTTGAATTTATCAGAAAAACTTTTTAAGTGAAACTATTTAAGTGAAAATCAGATTATTACAAACACCATTTGCTGCGCAAACACTTTGGGATGTGACTTAATCAACAGCTCATTTCCATATTCTCCATATTTTTGCTCTCTGCTTTCAGTTTATATAAGGCATCTTCTGAGCTGCACTTGCCACAAGAGGTCCTCAGTCATTGTAAACTTGGTCTTCTTGCAGCTAAAAGCACAAATTTTATTTGCGAAGGATCATAAATCCAAGTAGAAATCTGGTTAAACTGTTCTGCTTTCAGAAAATCTAAAAAAAACCCAAACAAATATATATCTCTCTGTTAAATGCATTTTGTGGTCTACAGTTTTGACAGTAATAGTGTGTTTAAGTCTCTGCACCAAAGACCAGCCTGTAGCAGATGGATAGGTCAGTACCTACTTAAACATCAGGCTTCAAAGCAGATTGGAGGTTGGCCAAAGTTCTGAATGTTTCTGTTGCCAGTTACCTCCTGCTTCCTAATGTCTCTACCCTCCCTCTTTTTCCTGTCCCAGCTGCACTGTTCACAACCGAGTTGGCGAATATGGGGGCTGCCAAAAAAAAAATCAGTCTTTTTATTGGATGTGGAAACAGTTCTCTCCCCACAATATGTAACCGTGTATTTTTGGCCTCGTCTCCATTCTTCCATGTACTGTATATGTGTGTTCACAGACTCACTGTATGTGTTGTTTTTGTACTGTACGTGTATGTATGTGTGTTTTTGTATATCATGCGTTTTATCTGAATCATAGCCTTATGTTAAATATATTCTGTAGTGGAGTGAATAATCCCTCAATAGGAGGTGGTAATATATTTTTCATTTCAGATTTACTGTGAGGTTTTAATTTATCTTTACGGTGCCTCCTCTCTCCTTCATGCTCAATGCTCCTCATAAAACCTTGATGCAGCTGATGCTGGTGTACACACTGGCATTTTCCCAGGTCTCACGTCTCATTCAGCTCACATCACCACCCAGTGGCCAATCTGTACTGTTGCCTCTTTTACTGTATTTCCTGAGGGGGTGATGCACCTTACACCCAAAGCATTGCTAAATCATATCAGAGTAAATGCCTTTATATTAAAGACACCTGTTTCTCGTCAAAACTCTTCTACTTGTTGAGTTTTTTTTTATCATGATTTCTTAACTTTGGGCCGGGGAGTCTTTACTGCTTCACTAGTAATTGGTGCTTTTAACTTTTAACCGCTGAGAGTGTGAGACACCTGTGCAGTGGCTATATATAATATATTAATGACTAACCCATGACCCAATGACTAAGCGCAGGTTGCCCGTCTATGAAATCAGTATTTTTTTAGGCTACATGCTTTCCGAGGAACAGCTTTTTATTTACATCCTGAGGAAAGATCGACAGTTTAGAATCAGAGACAAACTCCTGCCAAGTCGTTGATCTGGACACCACTCACGCGCCTACGTGCGGATCATCGCGTACGCCAATCTACATAGCTACATGATTTCATCACAGAGTTGTCCTGTGCGCATCCTTTGTGGCATACAGTGGTGAGTATCTTATTCTGAATATAGAATAAGTTGCAGAGAGTGTTTCGGAAGGAACTGATTCATGTATAAAAAATATGTCTCAAAATTGCTCAAAAAGAGCCACTTTGGATACCACAGTATTTTCTCATCGACACCTCGTCGATTGATGGGTTGACCACTAGGGAGAACCAAAAAAGGGGACTACTGTTACGCGCCTTGGGTGTGTCAGCGGACGTCACGGATGTCCGCTGTCCGGTCGTGGTACTGTGGGAACTGTATAAATACGCGCCGCTATCCAAAACGATGGGAAAAAGTTGCACTGGAGTTCAAGCGTGGTGTCCTGTTGCGTGATCTCCCGCAGCTATCCTCAGGAAACCAACCATCTCCAGCCAAGCTCGCTGTGCCGTCTGTAGTCCACTCTTTGGGGGAAAAACAGCAGGAATAAAACTTGTTTCATATTTTATATTTGAAAGCCGCTTTCTGCATCGGAGTCGCCAGACATGATGAATTGTATTCTCATCTGCCTGCTATGTGGATTGTATGGTGTTTTGGCAAAAGGTGAGTAACAGGTTTACTTTTATTGCTGCACTACATGCAGAGTAGATTAGAAGTTATGTTCATATGTTCAATAAGTTGTTTATGTATTTAAAGTACTTATTGAGAAACATTCAGCGCAACATTTGCATTTTCTTAATTCAGTTTTAACTTTGTAAACCGAAGAGAAAACTTTGTGCACGTTGCAACCTGTAGAAAACGACTTTTATCATTGATATTTTTTACTAATAACCAGAGAGTCCTAGTTATTAAACATCTGGGAGATCTTTGAAAGGAGAGTAATTTCCATCACCGACACAGAGCAGTCAACTTTTTCTTTGGAGGAAGACAAAAGACGCGCAAATTCCTGTGGAGTGTGCGCGCGCTCATTAATCAGTCAATTAAGCGGCTGGTGCGATCGTTGTCCAGCTTGTAAACCTCTGTCCGCTCCAAGTGCAGCGAGGGAGATAAGCGCTGTCCTGCGGGACTCTTGTTTGGATAACGCGGACCTCTGTGCCCGGGCTCCTTGTGCGTTTGGCCCCGGTTGAATGGACACACGCAGGGCGTTGTTTCCTGAGACTGATGAGTTTGTCAAATGGAGGCTCTGATAGAAATGAATGAGGGGTCGCGACCGACTGGAGGAAAATATCCACTGGGCAGGAACCGATGTTAATGTGCGCTTATTGCTGAAACAGTTGGCAGGTTGCTCTTGTGCGCGCCACAGATCTCCGTGCTGTTCTTAGCCAAAAAGGGAGACTTTTTTTCTACTGGAAAATGTATGAAAACATGATATTAAAAAATATCCATTTACTTTTTTCTTTTTTATTATTATTATTATTATTTTTTTTTTTTTGCATTAAATATCTTTTATTACAAACAATAAACTCAACTCACATGTAGGCCTACTGCAGTACTTTGAAGTCCTGTGCGTATTTAGCACTTTAATGAAAATCAAAGCAATTGTTTCCCGTAGTTGTTTCAACAAATACTTGTTCCGCTTTTTGTTTACAAAAAATAAACAAGACTATAATGATGTCATCCTAGATAAACATTTTTCTGAAAAAATGCATCACTAATGAAACCGCCAAACAAATAATTAAAAAGATATATAAGAAGTAACTAGATAGGCCACAATAATCAACAATAATCAATAATCCTTACAATGGTTGTATTTACATAGCCTACATAAATTCCCATGTCATTACATTAATGTTCAGTCAGCCCAATGCCATTGTCAAAGTTCTGATTATGATATTAACACATTACTAAGAAAAATGTACTGATTTCTTTTCTTTAGAAAAAAATAGAGATATAAGTATAATTGAGAAACACCTATATATTATAACTGAGAAAAAAATATCTCCCTAAACATTGCATAATACATAAATGATATCAATTCAGTGATATGTGGTGTTTTTAAAATATTAGTTTCATTGGTTTCTTGATAACATCATACTGCAGAAGAATACGGATATGTTCCCTAGACTGATTCTCTAGAAATGATCTCCACAGATGGAGGCAGTGATATGAATTTCAGGACAAAGGGACTGGAGTTGAATATCACGTTTTTATGAATAACAGAATTTTTCTTTGCCAAATGATTCTTCCAAACTTCCTGAAAAGTCAGAAGAAGGTATTTTCCAAAGTAATGATGAATGAGTGCTTGGAAACATGCCACAAGAGCAGCATTCAATGTAACTTTTACTTTTCTGCGATTATGACTGTGATGTTGGCTGTGACTCCTGGTTGGGTGAAGTAGCAGGAAAACTGTACTGAATTATTTTGAAATTGGGCTCTTAGCTACTTCACAGCTTGTTGAAAAGGCCCCAAAAGGCCCAGAGGAGATCCTTCACTTCCCCTCTGTCTTCCCTTAGCCTGCTGTGTGTGTGTGTGTGTGTGTGTGTGTGTTGGTGTGTGTTTCTTGCCTACCCACACACTGTCAAATCCAAGGAAATAGTATAGGAAGTGCTAGCAGAGTGAGTAATGCTAGATCTGCTCAATGGGGCATCCACTGGGAACAATGATGCTGACAATGAATGGGAATAATGGACTTAAGTGATAAACTCACTAACTGCCTTACAAGTGATTTAACTACTCACAGAGCAGTGGGGTAGTTGTGTTTTGAGGAGTGTTTTGAGATGTGTGTTGTACAATCTATAAGGAGCAGTCAGAGTGAAGGACGGACTTCCCTGAATGATGTTTCCGCTGTTGTTGGGAGGAAGGAAGGGTGGACAGACAGCCGTCTTTATCTCTCATTAATAAACCCCAGCGATGGAGTGGAGAAATGCCTTTTGATTTGATAAACAAGAGGGACACTGCTTACGCATTTCCACGCATGTCGTCAAGTGGCCTGAGCGAGGAGATGCAAAGAGGGTCACAGATACTGTGGCCTGGATGGAGGACGTGCTGGGGAGCTGGGACTCACCAAGACAACTTCTTAAGAATTTGTTTTTGTCCAGTTTGTAATGGACAGTGCTTACAGGAACTGTCCAAAGTATTTATTGGTTGTAAGTGTTTTGTCTTCCAGGATTTCCTCTAAAAGTGCTCTCATGTTGAGCTGGCTTGATTCAAGGGAATTTGGATTGGGGTAAATATAAATGCAAAGATGCAATATACCCCACACCTGTTTACTCAATCAACCCCCCATTTCAGCAGATATATATTCTGGATTACAACCTGACCTTGACCTCTGACCTCACAGGAGAGGGGCAAATAATAGTTCCATATGTGTAATTAAAAAGCCCTTTCTTATAGTTACTATTAAACAACCCGATTTCACACATTCTTAATGCACTTACTCAGTAATTACATGTTGCTTGTGCTCTGTGTTTGCTTCCTTTCTTCTATGTCTCCAGATAAAGAACACAAGGGCAAGTACAGCGTCCCCATCCTGGATGTGAAAACTCAGCAGTTGGTCGTGGACACCAACCAGACACTACTGCTCGGCTGCAGGTGAGTTTCAGGTAGATAGATGTGGGTGCCAGAAAAGCCGACTTTGCGGGAAGGGGTGGAGGTGAGGTGGGACGAGCAAGTGGCACCTGTAAATGAAAGCCCCCCCCCCCCCACCCCCCCCAAACATGATCAAGCAACACTGCTCATTAGAATCAAATTAAAGTTGTGGTTTTTCAATTAAATTCTGCACAGTTGGAGAAGAACCTCATCCTGAATCATATCACAGTGTCAATATTTTCTTCACTTTGTTCAATTTTTACCATTTTTCCTCCAGCTCTGCTTCTTGTAGTCTCAAAATATGTCAGTTTTTTAATTTTTTAATTTTTTAATTTAAAACATTCTTCAACAATTACTAGCAATTGCTTGTTTGCTGGTGGAGCTTTTAACTTCCTATTAATGGTATCTCAACCAGATATCTGTTGCAGAGAATCATAGTCATAGATGCAGAATCTGATTTTTATCTTTTGCTTTTAAGAGTTTTATTCACATTTTCTTGAACCTAACACCAAAAAACAAAACAAAATCGAAAGAATCCAAAACACAAGGAATTTGAATTTTACAAAAGACATTTAAAGCACCGTCATTAGGCCACTCGGTGAAATTGAAATCTCTGGGACATATTTTAAAGAGGCTTCATTCTTCCACCCTTCCACCTACATATGGTTAAACAATCATTAGATAAAGGGGTGGAGTTCCTATGACGTAAGCTGACAGTGAACATAAAAGTTTGCCAAGTGTTTTTTGGTTTCAATCCCTTCTACCTGTTGACCAGGGGTCGCTGGGAGCTGATATGGGCGTTCCCATCAGGTTTGGCCAGAGATCAGGTGCGAGTGCAGCAATCTCGCTGTGGGAAGAGAGGCCAGCAGCACTGCAGCCGTTTGACGGTCAGCCGCAGCCAGGCCCAGCACACGGGCCCGTTCCGCTGCAGATATCGGCACCGACCTCGAAAACAGAACTCTGTTTATGTTTATGTCACAGGTAACACACTAGTGCGCTTTTTCCTTTGATTTTTCTTCTTTTTCTTTTCTGTCTCTCTTTCTCTGTAGCTGTCCTTTACTCTGTCTCGTACTCACTCCTTCACCCCGTGGTGCTTATTGTTTATATCCCCAGGTTAAACAGGATGTGGTGGGTGCTAAATACAGACCAATGCCAGAGAGCCAATTATATCTAAACACTGTTTGTCCCAACAACACATCCTTCTAGATGACTCTGGCACAGTTTCACCCCCCTCCTCCCCTGCCTCTCTTTTCTCAGCCCAGGCCTACCTCCCTGTTGTCTATATATAAATCCTTTTTTACTTTCGTTTACGTGCTACCTCGAGGCCAGGAATAGCCCAGCTGCTGAAAGGCTCAGGCCCGGGCAGAGTTTCCCAGGGCATCAGCCTTATCTGCTCTGGTCAGCCTTGCTTGAAGCATCCTGTGCTTGGGGGAGGAGGGGAAGGGCTCGAAGGGGTTGTGCTGGGAGGGGATGTCGCTGTGTCTCTACAAGGTGGCGGCAGGGAGGTGTGTGGAAGTGTGTTTATGTGTGTGTGTGAGAGGAGCTGAGAAGGATAAGATGAAGGCCAGAGGCTCAGTGGTATCCAGGGGCAGAGGAGGCACGATGTCTACCCAGCCGCCTCCTCCCTGTCCTGGAAGGTGACGCTGTTTCGGGCTGGGCTGTACCGGGTGTGGAGCTGGGCAGATGGCCAGGGTCACAGGGCATGCTACTGTTTGGCCAACAGGACCCTCGGGGGCCATCAATCGCTCAGGTCGCCATGTCCATTAAGCGTCAGACTTGGCCTGCAGCTCTGCTCAGACGTTGCCTCCCTCCTTTAGTCCTCTATTAGGAATCAAAGCAAGAGAAGGAAGCCCTCAGTCCGCTAGTCCTTGGGGTACTTTTGTTCGAATGTTCAGAGATTTGCTTTCCTTGAATAACACCCTATAGTAACAAACAATACAGTGAGCAACACCCACACCTTTGAATGGCACAGAACTGTTACAGTAGTCGAGCTGGGAGGAGAAAGCTCAGAGAGGCCGTTTGATTGCTTCTAAACAATCTGTGTGTTTATTGTTGACTGCAGGCAGTCATTTGCTGAATGGGTATTCAATGAATGGGTGTGGAGGACCAGTGTATGTTTAGGAGTGTGTGTCTGTTTGTTTTTGTTTGTTGTTGAGATTGATACTTGGAAGTGTGTGTGTTTGTTTGTGTGTTTGTGCATAGAGGCAGCTGATTGTTTTCTTTCCTTTCTGTGTGTGCATGAAATTAAAGGGTCAGTTCACAGAAAATTATTAAAACAACATATTTTCTCACTCGGTCAAGGGGGTAATTTTTTTTTATCCTCCTTTGGCTTTTATTGTTCCAGGTTGACTTTCTTAATAAAATCTCACCACCGACCAGATGAGAGAAGATCTGAGTTGAAAAAAAATGTTGATACAGTCATCTGAGTCGTCTTCAGTTATTTTCATATGCTCAAAGCAATAAACTGGAGGAGCTTCAGTTAGTGGTGGCGTGGCGAGCGCTTTGATCCTGCCCTGGGTTTCGCCTCACTGGCCACATACAGACTGCCGTCACTGGTGAAGGTGCAAACACTTCCAAAAAAAAGAAAAAAAAAAGAACTGCCTATTTAGTTATTTGGTATAAAACTCTGCATTTTTACAGTTTTTACGCACATAAAAATAGATAAAGACGCAGATAAAACATATCTGTTACACCCTTGCACACAGTCCTATCTCACCATGCAGACATTAATAAGTTCCTGTTGAGAAATTTGTCTGTTAGATTTCTGCGTCCATGCCAATGCTGTGGACGTGAGTGAGAGCTTGTTGCTCAAAGCGTTAAAGATACACCACCATCTCATCTTTCCTGAAACTGTGTGACATTTGACAACGGAATACTCCTTAGTGAAGAAATATTTCCTAGGAATAGTGTTTGCAGTAATTGTTGGCATGGATTATCCAGAGTAACCAGGGCATTTCCTGGAAACAGATTTCTGTGCACACAACACCCCAGACATAGTTCCATTTACCCCCACGCACAGATCGAGGAATATATAAAATTAATAATATATAAATGGATCTGCAGAAATCTTATTCACAACAATTTTCATAACTGATTAATAATTTCGGTCCTTTTCCAATCTTTTGTTCTGGATTTTAGGTTGGTTCTTTTGGGGGGATTTGCTGCTTATCTCTCTTTTATATCAACGCATATATAATATTTTTGGTTTCTTTAACTGTTGGCAGTTTAAAACAACACATTTGAAGACATCAGCTTGAATGCTGAGAAGCTGTGGTGGATATTTTTCAGAAAGCAGAAATTAATATCAATTAGCCAAGAATATGCAGATGTTATGATAATGGATATAATAGTTAAATGCAGCCCTAAAGTATAATATACTACAAATATCTCTAATCTAAAACCACTATTAGTGCATGGCTAAGTGCCACTGGAGGTAATTGAGAAAACGTGTTTTTCGGTAATTTAGATGAACTGACCCTTTAAAACTACAAACATGGTGGTATGATATTTGTGTGTAAAAAGAAGTAGTCTTTTTGTATGTATTCATGTTACATGCTTATTATCTGCACCATATGTGTCCCTGACCGCAGTGTTTGGGTTTCAGACAGCCAGCAGCCATTTGTGGAACATCCGGGTATGAGCCCAGATGTGTTGTACCTGAGGGAGAAGGAGCCACTGGTCATCCCCTGCCGAGTCACACACCCCAATGTCACCACCACACTGGTCAAGGTCAGTGCAAATATGAATGAAATGACAATTTACGTGTCTTTTTAATTCATGTTGGAGCTCAGAGATCTGCATCATCTTTACATGTAGTGCGTGTATCTACACACTCACGCCTCACTTTGCCCAGTCACACCACACTTACATTCTCCTCACATCATCACTTGCCCCAGTTTTTTCCATCAGGGCTCACATATACACGCAATGCACTGTCCCTCTGCAGATCATTTGCCACATTGTTCTTATCTTGGCAGCCATTACACTGTGGCGTGTGTGTCCGTTTGTTTATGTCCGTCTGCGGATATGTGTGAAAGTGTGTGCGGATATGTTTGTGAGTGTTGGTGCTTGAGTGCTGAGTGAGGGGGAGAGTGGGCAGAGTTACTAAGTGCAAAGAGGAGCATTTAGAGTGCTTGCTGACTGCATATCTGTGTGTTTGAGTTCATGCATTCGTGTCCATGATAGTAAATCAGTGTATAGTAGGTCACTCTATAAGTCCATAACTTAGAAGAGATTGTGTCTGTCTGTTCACATATTCAAGAAAAACTACCAATCAAAGATGCTTCTTTCTTTACGGGGTTTTTCCAATCAAGCGGCGCCTATGGCAACACTGCCGTCACCTCTGGAGACAGGACGTAGCGTTTGGAGTGCCCCATTGGCCCCGAGCCAGGAGCACTTCCCACATCTCAACCTTTACTTCTTGTAGTAAGAATCCTGGCTGCCAGCTTCCCCCGAATGATGCTTTAAACAGCTGGTGTGCCTGGTGGAGGAAGCAGGGGTAGCTACTGTTGGCCCCTGACAGATCAAAGTACAGTCCATTCTCTTCAATCATAATGTGATGGCTTGTGCGTCACTGTAGGAAGCTTATTGTGGTGTAACTACAATAGAGTAGCTGTTAAACATGCAGAAGGCTCTGAACTCGACAATCCAATTGGGGAATAATAAGTAGGTGTTGCTTAAAATCATGTTTTTTATTCCTTTTTATACTCTCAGATATTTCCTGACTTTTTGCCCCTATTGTGGTTCGGTTTAAAAATGCCAGGTCCTACACTTCCCATCATGCAACTCAAAAGCAACTATGTTAGACCCTGTCAGCCCTAATAACTGATGACTTTCAAATTCCTTACCCCTAGTTTGTATCACATGGGGCCTTCAAGCCAATATAAAAGTCAGGTGATGATCAAAGTCAGACAAATTCATCCTCTGGGGAACATTATTGTCTGAATAAAATTTTGCGGCAATCCATCCAATAGTTGTTGAGACATTTCAGTCTGGACCAAAGTGGTAGATCAATGCTGCTAACATGGCTAATAAACAAGAGGAAAACTGCAACAAGAAGAAATGTCTAGGAATTTGAAATGTTCTGGATCTGCAATCCAGGAAGTGCAAAAAAACATTATCAGGACAAATAAGACCCTGAATGTCATATCCTACTGGTTCTCCAGACTCTAAATATGATCTTAAAAAACACACATAGTTGGACATCAACACACACACACACACACACACACACACAGGTTTTTGTCTTGCTTCCATCTCCTCCCAAATGCCTGGAACCACTAAGGTAATTATTCTAAAATTAGTTTTCCTCCTCTTCCTTCATCTCCGTCTTCCTCCTCTAACCTGCGCTGGCCCGTCTGAGCCAGGAATCCACTCACTGTCACAGCCTCTGGAGTGTTTTTTTCCTGGAAGGATTTAGCACTTTGCTTGGATCTTTAACATGACCCTTCTCAGCGGGAACAATACCCAGGAGGCTCTGCTGTCTCTCGCTCTGGCCGTGAAAGTGACCAGCAGGTCCGGAGGTCCGGGATGATGGGGTCGACCTGGGGTTCCAGTCAAAATGTCTATATCCTGCGGCAACAGGATGCGAGGAGATCGACTGGAGTCACGTTTCTCATATCCTGACTCCCCGTAACTTGTTCGCTCCTCCCCTTGTTTCCACCTCCACCACCGCCTCCACCTTTGCCTCGCCTCCATGTAGGGTTAGGAGATGGGTGTAAGAGGGGCAGAGAGGGCACTAAGGGCACTCTGATGGAGCTTCAGTAAGTTTGGGAGGAGGGAAGAGTGGGAAGCATTGGGGAGGAGGGGGGTCTACCTGCTCCCTTGAGAGTGGGTGGGAGGCTTCCACTGTGTCACAGTAACATTTCCTTGTGGCTGCCTGCAAGAAAACAACAAGGTTACACAGTTACACAAGTGTCCATCTCAAGGTAGCCAAGAAATTAGATTATAAAACCAACACTGTGCGAATATAGTCAGCCTCATTTTGAAGTTTTTCATGTGACCAAAACATTTTACTGGTCCCAAAAAGGACTTACCACACTCTTCCTTTAACCTGAAGTGGCTCTGTTCATTATATACACAAGTCCAAACCAGGATTAAACCCAAGAGGAGCTTGAGTTGAGCAGTAGTAGAAAAATCTGGAGTTGCACAAGAAACCAGTCACACAAACCCTACGCTAATTTCTTCAAGCCAATCTATTTTTGCACCTATTGCATTGCTCCACTGCACATTTTGTGCAATACTCAGTTTAAAATGAACTTCTGCAACTGAATAACATTGCCTGGTTTTTCTCTATATTAAAACAAAGAAGAGAACAAGGGAGACTCAGTAAAGACTCAATCAAAACTGTAGACCTGAGACTTTGATTTGAGTCAGAGCAATGAGGTTTTGAGATTTGTTTTGGTCTGTACTATAAAATGTGTCCTTTTTTCAAGTCTCGTGTAGGTCTATGTAAAAGCACAATTTTGAAAGGACAATGATCAAATGCCATATCAATGCAATGGTTAACATTCAGAGACCTGAAAGACTTGCATGTGACATTTGTTTAACGATAACTTGACTTAAATTGTGATTCCATAAAGTTCGAGGACACAAAAGAAACAGATTTCAAAAAGAATGATGGAAATCAAAGCAGTAGAAGAGGTGGTATGCCAAAAACACTGGATCCTACAATTACCATAATGCAATTAAATAGCGTACTTAATTAGACCCTCCCTGAATCTTAAATGCCCACTTCTTTCAAACGGCACACCTCTAGTTCGTAATTTTTTTTAAAACATCCTTAGCCCAAGCTAAGATGAGATCATCTCATATTTTAGAACGCTCCTCTAGAGTCACAGAAACGAGACCTGATTGGTGGCATGCCTCTTTAACCCTTGTTTTTGAAAAAAGAGATGATACATTTTTCCATGGGACTGCATTGACTATTTTTCTGTTGAAATGATGCACATGCAATCAGTACCAATTTCTTTCCATCACGTCACCATATTCCTTCCCTATTCACATTTATTTTATTTTAATAGTTTGGTATAAAAATTAGTAATCTGTGGTTCTGTTGTTGCCTAATTTTTGTCCAGTATGTGTAATTTCAGATGTGCTCAGTGTAATTGAAATGTGTCAGAGCTGCTTTTCTCTCAGTGATGGGGAAATATTTGATGGGCGTTGTTCTCCTCCCTCTTCCTACAGTTCCCCAACCACAGCCTGAGTCCAGACAAGAGGAACATTATCTGGAACAGCAAGCAGGGCTTCACCATCCGAACTCCCACCCTCTATTACACCGGCCTCTTCTTCTGCCAGACGATCACCGATGGCGTGACATACATGTCACAGAAATACTTTGTACACAGACCAGGTAAGCATGCACTCTGCAGTAGTACACACTTCACATGTAAACATGTAGGTGTGTATCAGTGATTTCAGTGGAAAAAAACCCAGTTCTCTCTGACTTCTGTATATTTCTTTTTTTTTCCCTCTCTCTTCACCCCAGTGAGTAACATCATGGAGGTGTATCTGAACAGCAGTGGTCCTGTGCAGGCTCTGAAGGGAAAGAGACTGGTCTTGAACTGCACTGCCACTGGGGAGTTGAACACCAGAGTCAACATCACCTGGGACTACCCTGGAAAGGTCAGACCTGCACTAGAGTGGAGATCACAGAAGCACAGTTTTAAAATGACAGATGACCTATGACAGAAACTGGGCAGGAGTGTGTTAATGTGTTACCCCCCAGAGAACAGTGTATCTCTATGGTAACCTAGCAGGCTGGTAAAGGTGCCTGCCTAGGACTGCCAAAGTGCCTTTAAGCAACAACCATCCTCCATGTAATAGTCAGTAGACACACTAGCATAAGGGATTATGATAAGGATTTTTGGATGTGATGTTCCCTTTAATATCAATCTGCAGTGATCGCAGTACCGCTTTCTAATAAGGTATATGTCATTAGGAGTGACTTGTAACTAATGACTTTATCATTACTTACATAAAACTCTATGCGTGCACTTGCTGGACTGGAGGACTTATCAAAATACTCCTCAATTTGTGGACGGTTTGGCTGTATATCAGAAACTACAGAGCATCTTGTTAATTTTTAACAACAATGCTGCAGAGCAACAATTTATAACCTCTGACTTGACATTAATATTAAAGGTCTGTGGGTTTCTCACTGTCTGTTAGTCAAGTCCAGGGAGATAAATTGTAATAAGCTGTTAATAAATGGATTTAGTAGTTTTTCTCCTCTTCTCTTCTTTTTTAAATGAATTTATCTGGCCTTATTGGCATTTTTCCCACATAGTTTGACAGTAGAGACAGACAGGGAAATGTCAGCAAAAGGTCCCCGACTGGGATCGAACCAAAACCGTTAAGATTTCATGGTATGTGCCTTCCAAGGCACCTGGGGCGCGGCTGTTTAAAACGTTGCCGGATGAGGATATGCACCAGCCAGACGTATTATTCATAACCTGGCAATCCACTTATTAATGTCCTATTACAATTTTAACCCTTTACAAAGTATGCCTTATAAGAACTAACATTCCAAAAAGTACAAGTAACATCATTATATGTAATAAGAAATATCAATACAGATACAGCATATAAACATACCAGCCTTAAGATACGTGTTGCTACCGAGTGAATGCCTTGTTACTCCAGTTATTTTGATTTTAATGTCAAAGATTCAGTCAAAGGATGTAGCACTTTGAGCTCACAGCTTTTCAAAAATAAATTTGAAGGACACACAGGTGAGCTTTCAGTGTTAATAGTTTGGCTTTTCTCCCACTTAATCTTCAGATTAACAACTCGGGCTTCACTTCCAAGAGGCTCCTGAAGCACAGAACGCACATGTTGTTCTACAGTATTCTGACCATCCCGAAGCTCCAGCGATCAGACCGAGGGCTCTACACATGCCGAGTCACCAGCGGTGAAAAAAACAAGCAACAGAAAGTCACTGTCACTGTCTATGGTGAGTGTCCTCCAATATAACTCCCTGATATCTGTCCACAGAACAGTTCAGATTACTCATTTATATATTTATATCTTAAGTGAGTTTCATTCTGAGGTTTTCTTGCGACACAGGCTCTGAATCACTGTCAAGGGTGTTGTAAAAATGTCAAAACAATGATCAAACTTTGCCATTTGATTACTCAACCTAACATGAATGTGGCCATGCGATTCTTCAATTCTAGACCGCCCATTTATCCATCTGAAGCCCAGACATGGATCTGTGATGGAGGCTCAAGCAGGACAGAAATCTTACAGAATCTCTCCCAAACTAAGAGCATTCCCTGCCCCTGAAGTCATCTGGTAAGCACTGGTCGCACTGAACCCTGTGCCCTCAGATCAGAAGCCCGTGCCTCTGTGTTCGCACCTCATCACGTTTAGAGTTTCCTCTGTAGTGTTTCACTCCCTTTTTTTTTTTTTTTTTTTTTTTTCCCCCTTTGTTTAATCGGCTTAAATAAGGCATGTTTATAAACTGTTTTAATCTCTGGCAAACTTTCAGAACCATTTGATAGGAAAAGCCTGATGATGTTTGTTTAAGCACTGATACATTGTTTATCATATTTAGCCATCACAGTTATTCGTTCTGTAATATTATGATTCCAAATAGTTTTCTCCCTTATTAAACTTTGGTCACACGGGGGTCGGCCTTAAAACTGGGATTCCTCACTTTCCAAAACTCTTTTTTTTCTGACAGGTTTAAGGATGGCATGGTGGCAGCAGAGCAATGCTCCCGATACCACATGGATGGGAATTCCCTGGTGATCCGGGATGTTGCGGAGGAGGATGCTGGGAAGTACACTGTCCTGGCACGAATCCAGGAACACGGACTCTACCAGAATCTCACACTCACACTTGCTGTCAATGGTGAGAAACAAGAAGATAATCCCCCAGCAGCCACCTTCAGCTCTAACTGCCCCCCCCACCCCACCCCCCATCTCCACTCCTTTCAGGTATTAGAAATTTTTGCTTCATTTAGTCTGTGTGTTTGTGTGGGCTTTTCTCTTTCACAGTGAGTCCTCAGATAGGGGAGAAAGCGGTGTCGTTGCAGGACCCAGGCTCTGTGCCGCGGGGGAGCAGGCAAGCCCTGCACTGCACGTCCCATGGAGTCCCTCCTCCACACATCCAGTGGCTCTGGCATCCCTGCCCATCCAAAGGCCTGTAAGTAGCCCAGACGACACAGAAGATACAGTCTAGTGTGCACATTCAGATTGTGCCTCAAAGATTATCAGTAAACCATCCATAAATCATGATATCTTGCACCTTGGATATTACCGAGGATATTAACATATTGGATATATTACCATACCAGCTGGAATTATAGTAAACTTCACTATTGAATAGTATAAAAATCTTTAAACCTTTCTTTACAAAATAGCACATAATGTGTCAAAGCTCACACCAGGTAAGATATAGATCATGTAAACATGAGTATATATCCATACTGAGTTCTCTGTATTATTTGTGATTGATTTGACACACTTAAATTTTTAATCAAATTAAACTGCAGAAGGCAAAACCAGCAAAAAATATAAAACATGTTGATTTGGGGAAAAAAAAACATGTTTGAGGTCATTTGTGGTATTTATTTGAACTGCAAAGGCTCAAAATAATATCACTATATGTTACAAACCCGTGCAAAAAAATGTTTGTTTTATGTTATCTGGCGGTGGGGGTTTGTATGTGTGTCTGTGTGTGTGTGTGTGATTTTTGAAAAACGAGACATGTTTTGTCTATTTCAGCATGTGTTCAGACAGCGTTTCCTTCTTGTAACCAGAACAGATGCCTTTGGGGGCCTTTCATGTGCGGGAATGTGTGAAAATGTGTGTGTGTTTATTTGTGTGTATATGCGCCCACGATTTGTGTGTGTTTCATCATGTCTGTGTTTGTATGTTTGCTTGCTTGTACGACTCTTTCCCCATATGTTTGTTCTCTCACTGTCCATGTGTCCCTTTCCATATGTTTGTTTAAGTGCATACAAATGTGCAGTCTGTGCTTTGTGTGTATGTGTCAGTGTGTGTGTGTGTGTGTGTGTGTGTGTGTGTGTGTGTGTGTGTGCCTGGTACATTCACAGACACAGTACACAGTGTATCTCAGACTTGAAAGGACAGAGAAAAAAACACACTTCAATAGAGGCCAGTTCCGTGCTCTCAGTCACGATTTGTTGGTTTCCAAATCAAACGCTATGATTTAATGAATTTCCTGTCCAGGACGCAGGGTGAGAGGCCTGTTTATTATTGTGATTGCACACTGCATCCTGTGATGCTTTTTCTTATATCTGACACACACACTATATATAAAGTTCTCATGAGAAATGGCCCAACCCAGTGATGCACACACACGCGCGCGCATGAGTACTCAAGCAGGCACTTGGCAGAAACATTGATTGAGTTGTTCTTGGAGGTCAGACACTTATTGTGTTGCTCATGACCAAGTCAGAAAGGTTAAGTATTACCTGAGAGCAACCACAGCAGCCGCCCATACTCTATTCCCCCTCCGAGACACACTGACATCATCAGTGTACTTGACCCTTAACCCCGGCACTCTCACATGGCGCCATGCCGAGGTGCCTTCGCTGTGATTTCATCCGTCCGTCTCTGCCAAATGCCAAGTGTAATCTGCATAATGTACATGAGCAATGTTGTTGACCAGCTGGCACTTTCACACTGAAACTGGACAGGGTGATACACACTATTCATCCTGCAGAAATGTTACCTGTTACCTAGATTATCTGCTGCATATTCAGACAATATATTTAGATATTAAGGTTAAAAAAATATATTTGGGAAATTTGTTGTATTTCATTATTTCACATGCAATCTACACATGGAGGAACATTTTGCTCAGTACCACCTAATGTGTGATCAATTAGTTGAATGATTGCACATTGAAATTTATTCCAGTCTGTAAGTAATTACACAAACACTTTGGCATAAAAAAAACAAAACAAACAAACACGCAACAAAAAAAGGCAGTTACTCCGAACAAAAAGAAAAAGATTTCTGCAGACTGAGAAGGTGCACACTGAAGCTGCAGCTTAAAGCACACTAATGTTGCAGCACATTACATTGGGCTCTGTACTGACTCACGTTATTACTTTACTTTAAGTCCCTCTATTTGGCATTCATAAGCAGGATATACATGGTTTGTAACATTTGTTTACTAATGTATTGATGAACAACTCTAACTATCTATAATTATCCTAAATAGTCCTGTTGGCACCCATAAGTGTAGGCTGCTGTACAGATACAGAACAGATAATTAATGACGATATAGTAAAGCACAGTAATAGAATGAAATATGTCTCGCAGGAGAAGCTTTAATTGTTGAAAATAAAGTAAATACTTAAAACTGTCCTTACACCTTCGTACAACTACATTATAGTGTGGTATAAACTATTAAATGTTTATAAATGCTAAATAAGGGGTCTTGAAGTAACTGTTCTGGTTCTGGTTCTGGTTCTAGTTCTGGTTCTGCTTCAGTGTCTTGAGTGTGTTTCTTTAGACCAGTTTTTGGCTGGATCCTCACTAGGCCCTTGTTCTTTGCAGCCCGGCTGCACCACGAGCCTGACGCCGCGCTGGAGGAGGCCCAGGGACAGTGGACCAGGCTGGGCCAGGCTGATGGGGGGCCTCACGCCTGGGTCCTGGGTCCACTCCTCGGTCTGGCCCTGGGAACCACAGCGCTCTTATCTGGCCCGGGCAGGAGGCGCACTGGGCTTCCTGTGCGAAAATCAGAGCGCTTTTCCTCTCGTTGTTTGGCTTCCTCTCCGATGTGAGACGCTTCCCAGCAGCGTGATTGTCCCTTCGTCTTCAAACGTGGCACAGTCCGCTTCCTCAAGAGCTTGATCTATTCTTGAGAGCCCCCCCACCCCCACCCCTCCACCCCTTCCCCCATCTCTGCTGCCCCTGACACATACCTTTCCTACCCCTTCCCTCACCAGCTCTGCCCTCCACCCCAACCCAGCATCCTCCACCTTTACAGAAGAACAACTCCCCATCGCCTCCTACCCTGGAGCCCACCCCCTCCACACACTCATCAGTGCTTCTGCACAGTAGCCAGAACCCTCAGTGACATAACCAGTGATCCTAAGTGATGATCCTGTGCTTGCTATACTGGTGTGGAAAGTGAGGAAAGTGACTTGGAACACTGCTGAGCAGTGAAGACCAGGACTCACAGGAAACAAGGAGAAAAATAAGCCACATCACTAAGGATACAAGGACACCTGCTTTACTGATCATTTATTTATTTATTTCCTTCATTTCCCCTTCATTTCAGCCCTCCCCTCGCACCTAGCCATCCTGTAGTTGTTTATGCTTTTTTACATTTCACAGACATTTTGAGCCAGAAGAAGTGCAATTCCATCCATCCACCAGCCACATTTCTGGAGCTGCTTTGCTTGTTTTTTGTGTCCTAGAGTGGTACTATAATGGGTGCATGAACCGTGCCTGTCTCAAGCCCTGATCTGATTCTGACATCCACAAAAGCTGTGAGTTTCTGTTCCGATTTTTAGCCACCGGTAGAAGGTCAAATGTGCTCACCATGGACGGGCGAAACAAGAGAGAGGACAAGCTTTGTGTTGTTCACTATGGGATGCCTACAGTTCTCTATTAAAAGACTGAAGGTCAGCAGACGCCTACCATGTAGGAAGTCTCCACAGACCAGAGACTATGACTGCCCTCTGTCATATTATGTCATCCTGTGTCGTCCAGTGTCATCCCATGTCAAAATGTCTTCTGTTTGTGTGTCAAATGATGTCAGTATAACAGCCCTTTTGTCTTTGTATTGAAAATTAATTAAAAAATCTAGATGTATGTTTGATACTACAAGCCATTTTAAGAGAATGAGTGCTCTTAGTAAAGTCCATTTCTGTGTGAGTGTGTGTGTGTGTGTGTGTGTGTGTGTGTGTGTGTGTGTGTGTGCATGTGTGTGTGTGTGTAAAGCTGGCACAAGCATGTGCATGCTTGTGCAAGAATGTCTGTGTGAGCGTGTGTGTGTGCGTGTGTGTTCATGTCCCATTCTACGGGTGTCTCCCAATGTGATCCATTCCTTGTATACAGATGTTCTATGAGTAATATATGAATCTAATATTTAATAATTTTATACAACTAACTTACATATGACGAATGACAATATTTGCCAACTTTGTATGAATCTGTTAAGATGTACTGAAGTGTTGTATCAGTTGTTTGTGTTTTTGCATTAAACTTTGCTTATATTTGTGTATTGCTTTATACAGCTTTGGTTATTTTGGGGTAGAGACAGGAACAGACAGGGACAGTATACAAGTGTATTTTAGGCGGAGAAAGAGGACAGGAAGAAAAGGCAGGAGATGACCCCCACTGATACACAACTTGGAGCAGTTCATTCATATTTCCAGGCAGCTGCTCACCCTGTTGACAGGCATACACTGTGTGAATGTGGCTGTGGTGTGACTGTGTGTGTGCAAGTTCATTTTCTGTGTCTAACCACGTTTATGTCCCCACATCCATGTAACTAATCATATGTGTGTGTTTGGGTGTCATTTTGATTGAGAAAGCTTTTCCTGGGAAGAACGGGAGTGCTAGGTGGTGCAACCTGTCTGATGGTTGTCATGTGTACGTGTGTGTGTGTGTGTGTGTGTGTGTGTGTGTGTGTGTGTGTGTGTGTG